TATAGAAATTCTCCATTACCGCATGGTTTACATTGTGTTACACTGACACATTCTTTCGGTGTATGTAGGAAAACTCGAGCATCACTTGGAATATTTTCATTAGAGTGATATTTTTTATATAATGTTAATAATTTTGACAGAGCATTATTGGAAATATTATTTGAAATAGCCCAAAATTGTAATTCTAATGCAAATGTTTCGTTTCGATCTGTTATGTTGATTGTTTCATAATTATTATCCACTATATTTTCAGTTAAATCAACTTCTTCAATATTAGAATTATTTGAATCGCTGCCGGAATACTGTAAAATTTCATTAAAGTCTGTACATTGTGATGGAATAAAAGGATTTTCTATTTGACATTCCTCAATGATTTCTTCTTCAGTTGGGATGTCTATATTAATATTACTTTCTTCTTCAAGATTATAATTTTCAAAAATATCTGATTCTATACTTATTTGATGTAAACGTCTATTTCGTTGCCATCTTGATAATTCGTTAAATGGTTTTACTTGACGCTTCATTTTCATTTATTATTACTTAAAATGCAAAATTAAATGCACATAAATACAACTTACTTTTATTCTTTATAATAGTTGGTTATTCTTCAGTTTCGTCTAAAACTTTTATTGTGATACGTGACTGACTGATAAATCTGTAATAAAATATATGTATGAAATTATATAACATTATATTATACATTAGAAAGACTAAAGGAATAAGACATTCTATATAAAATTAATATATAAAAGTAATATATGAACATATAATAGAAGTTTGTATTCATATAATCAGAAATCGCCTGTTGAAAGAACATGAACTACATGCAGACAAATATTTATCCAAATTTATCAATAGATAGAGATTTTGATTGACTCTGTTGGCAAACCAACTAAAACAGCTTGTTTACTGAATGAATAAACAACAAAAATAAAGACTGCATGGGTTTATTTCGAGGTTAGGTAGTAGAAATATATTTAGTTCAACTAATACTTACCATTCAATAACATCCAATTATTAATATAATTATGTAGCACTATACTTTTGTAGTCTGATATAATATATATAAATATATTACCACCTTTTTATTGCAAAATACATGTAGCACACTGCAGACTGCACGAAATTACAAGATAAAGTCCGAACCGAACACAGTCTCGCGCATGCGTGGAAAAATAACAAGTAATTCCTTATAAATTCTCAAAGTATTCATAGTACTGTCGCAAAGTATTCATTAAAATGAATTTATAAAGAATATTTCAAGACGAACTGATTATGAATAATTCTTCAAGAATTCTTCAGATATTCATTTTTCTAATTCTACAAGTATTCTTTAAAATGATTTGAATGCCATTTGAATTAAAGAATGCACCAGCGACTTTTCAAAGACTGATGAATTCGGTATTAACAGGAAAACAAGGACTTAGATGCCTGGTCTACCTTGATGACATCGCGATATACAGATCAAGTTTAGAAGAGCACAACAAGCAATTAAAAGAAGTAATGCAAAGACTGCGGAAAACTAATTTAAAATTGCAGCCAGACAAATGTGAATTTTTACGGAAAGAAGTGATTTATCTGGGTCATATTATTTCCGAAAACGGAATATCTCCAGACCTATCAAAATTAACAGCAATAAAAGAATTTCCAACGCCGAAAAGAGTGAAGGATATTCAATCCTCCATAAGATGAGCCGGATATTACAGAAAATTCATAGAAAATTTTTCAAAGATCGCAAAACCGCTAACAAAATTAACCAAGAAAACGGAAAAATTCAAAACAACGGAGCAGCAAACATTTGAAATGCTGAAGGAGAAATTAATGACTGTACCAGTGTTAAAATATCCTGACTTCATAAAAGAATTTATAGTGACCACCGATGCCTTCGACTATGCGATCGGAGCGATATTATCACAAGGAAAAATAGGCAACGACCGACCGATTGCTTACACCAGCAAAGTATTGACAAAGGCGGAGCAAAACTATAATACAACCAAAAAGGAATTATTAGCTATCGTTTGGGCAATAAAACATTTCAGACCGTATGTTTACGGAACAAAATTCAAAATAATAACTGACCACAAACCGCTAATATGGTTATTTAATGTAAATGACCCCGGATCGAGATTAATCCGATGGAGATTGAAACTCAAAGAATATGATTATGAAATTATACATATAGCCGGACAAGCAAATGCCGACGCCTTAAGTCGCAAGAGCGGGATTCGTTAGCGCACGGTGCAATAGCGCACGAACCCGATAGCACACGAAAAATTGAACACAATTCCCGATAGCCTACGTCCCGACAGCCCACGTCCGATAGCGCACCAACCCGATAGCGCACCAAGTACAACTGCATACGAAAACACACACACAAGGGGGGTGCAAGGGAGGTCTTCGCCTCCCCCCACCCACCCCGTTCCCCTCGCTTCGCGTGCAAAGTTGTACTTGGTGCAAAGTTGGTGCGCTATCGGATTGGTGAGCTATCGGATTGGTACGCTATCGGGACGTGGGCTATCGCACCGTGCGCTAACGGGACCCTCCCAAGTCGCAACGCGATACCGGAACCCTCAAATGAAAATAATAATCATAACGTTTTAATAATAAAAAGAAGAAGAAGAAGACGAAGCAAACAGCAAACAAAAACATATACAGAAAAGAGGAGAAAAAACAAATTTTAGCCGAATATCATAATGCACCTACTATATAGGAGGGCATCAAGAAATCGAGCGGACAATAAAAAGAATTCGACTCCAACATAATTGGAAAGGTCTAAACAAAATATGTTCTAACAAAAGATGTCGAACGATATATAGCAAAATACAAATCCTGTCAGAAAAACAAATTATCACGGAAAAATAAAGTACCGTTAATATTTTTAGTATAATTACGAATACGCCTAATAAACCGTTTGAAAAATACGTGTTAGATATAATCGGACCATTAACGATCACTACTAACGGAAATAGATATTTATTAACTTTTCAAGACAATTTGACTAAATTTAGTAAAGCTATTCTGATTCCGAATCAAGAAGCGAATACTATTAGTAAGGAATTACTATTAGTAAGGAATTTGTTACAAAAATTATACTAGAACAAGGAATACCGGAAAAAATTTTGACCAATCAAGGAACGAATTTTCTCAGCAAAATCTTTAAAAATACATGCAAATTATTAAAAATAAACAAGATACAAACAACCGCATATCATCCAGAAAGTAACGGCGCGTTAAGCGACTATCTACAATGGCAGTAACAAAGTTGTAAGAGTAGAGAGTATACTGTTTTTAATTATGTAAGACTGGGAGTAACGAAATGGGAATTCCCATTTCATACTCCTACTTATCTTACTGTCAATGAGTGTTGAGGCGTGAAAATTTAATTGTGTCAATCTGTCAATATGCTGACAGTAGTAACTGTTCATGGTGACAGTATAGATACATGAATGATTTATTTGCGCGATTCGTGTTTTCATATATTTTTATAAAATGAATAATAATGATTATTATATGGAAGGCGTTGATGGACGTTATATGGATGCCTATGAATATGAAGAAAATAAAAAAAATGAAGAAAACATTGAAAATGATACAATAACGTATCAAAAAGAACTTATTGCTATTGTGAAAACTAACCCTGTATTGTGGGACAAAAAACAAAAGGAATATAAAAATGTAAATAAAGAACTTGCCTGGACCTCTGTGAGTGAAATATTATGTGTGTGAATTAATTCGGTCCATCTGGCGGTCAATTGCTGTACTATGTAATTTTCTAACCTCTAATGTCTGCAAAAGGCTTTATGGTTTAGTATTGACATCTGGCAATAATATTCAGTTGATAAACGTTTGAGTTTGTAACAATTACATCGTGTTTATCTGATTCGAAAATGTCGAAATTCGAGCCCAAAAAGCATCATTTTCAGGAAATTCTCATTTTCTGTTTTCATTTGAAGAAATCAGCCGCTGAAGCTCATCGAATGCTCATAGAAGCTTATGGTGAAAGTGCTCCCTCCGATAAATCATGCAGAGAATGGTTTCGACATTTCAAAAATGATGATTTCATTGTCGATGACAAACCTCGTCCAGGTCAGCCGAAGAAGAAGTTCAAGGACGAGGAATTGCAGGCGCTAATCGATGAAGATTCATGTCAATCGTATCATGAGCTCGCACAATTGTTGAACGTTGATCGATCAACAATTTCTGTGCGTTTGGCAGTCATGGGAAAGATTTACAAAGAAGGAAGATGGGTGCCATACGAACTGAAAGAAAGAGACATCGAGAGACGAAAAGCCATGTCCGAAATCTTACTTGTCAGGCAAAAAAGAAAAGGTTTTTTGTATCGTATTGCGACTGGAGACGAAAAGTGGATATATTTCGATAATCTCAAACGAAGGAAATCCATTTGCGACCCAAGAAGAAAACCATCCACATCGACACCAAAGCGGAATATTCACGGCAAGAAAGTAATGCTCTGTATATGATGGGACTAGAAGGATGTAGTGCATCATGAGCTATTAAAACAGAGCCAAACCATCACTGCCGAACTTTACCAACAACAATTAATCCGTTTTAAACAACGCATTGAAGAATAAGCGGCCGGAATATGCAAAGAGACACGACAAAGTGATCTTCTAGCACGATAACGCTCGGCCACATGTTGGAAAGATTGTGAAGGCCACCTTGGAAGCACTTGGCTGAGATATTTTATTTCACCCACTGTATTTACCAGACATTGCTTCATTCGATTATCACTTGTTCAGATCGATAGCACACGGGCTTTCGGACCAACACTTCAACAATTATGAAGAAAAAGAAAAATGGCTCAATGAATGGATCGCTTCGAAAGACGAGTCGTTTTTCCATCACGGAATACAACAACTGCCATACAGATGGGATAAAATAATAGCAAACGATGGCAAATACTTTGATTAGTATACTTTTTCATGTTTTTTCACACTAAAGTCTTTTTTTGGAAGAAAAAAACGGACCGAATTAATTCACACACCTAATACTAAAAAATATTTCTGGTGAGTAAATTTGCATATATCTAATGTATCTATTTAGCGGGAGTTGAGGTTATGGTACTTGTGAGAATGTATAGTTAAAAATATAATTAGTGTTTCTCCTATTTGCATTGTGCAAATTCAGATGCTAAGAAGGAATTTTACAAAATTCGACAAAGATATGAAAAGGAGCGGCGTAAAGTAATTATGCCATTGAAAGGAAAATCTGGACAAGGAGCCCAGCGCCTATATATGTTCCTGAATGGGAATTGTATGAATTATGCGATAGTTTCCTACGTGAAGTTATTGTTTAGTACACTTAAGTGTCCCGCGGGAGCATTCGCGCTAGCGTTCGCTTTCCGCTCTCGTTTCGCCTAGCGGCGCTTCTGTACTTCACGAGAGGGCACCTCTAGCTGGCCTTGGCGTGTGAGCCGTTCTTGTCCTCTCTCTGCTCTCGGCCCTTGAGCCACGTTATACCTTTGTCACACATAGGCACGCAATATCTTGTGCAATAATTAGTAATAAGAAAGGCATTCTGAGCAAGCTACTGTACGTATTTGTGAGTTCTGAAATATACATATTTTTAAACGAGAGGAACGCAACTTTTTTCCTCGACCACGTGGCTACGAAGCACTCTTCCCGTCGGCATATACGTGGAGGGCATTCCAGCCCCGACAAAACATTTTGGTCCTTCGAGCCGGATACTTGGCGATTTCTACGGAACAAGGAACTCAGCGACTACGGAAGAGCCTCAGAAACGAGTACGAGGAGGCTAGTAACCGCTGCCATAACCTCAAAATTGTCGTGCATTATATCATTGCCGGCATCTCAGTCACACACACGGCCATCTTGGACGAACGAGCGAGCCATTTCCTCGAGGAAGCTACAGCCAGGATCCAGTCCAGCTATAACCACCGCGGAACCATCAGGACTCCATTGGCGCCGGCGGACGTCCCGACTGCAGTCCAGGAAACTCGCGCCCATTGACCAGCGAGCGTTTCATCAGAGCGCTATTTATTGTTAACAAGGTAAGGGCAATCGTTCGAGAGTGCTGCCAACCAATCACCCTTGTCGTGAACGAATATTTTATCTAGTTTCGCGTCATGGCGAACGAGCAAAATCTCGCTTCTCTCAAGAAGCGGCGCGCAGTAATACAACGCTCGTGTACGCGTATAAAAACGTTTTTAGATTCGGTTGTTTCCGTCACGCCTACCATCGCCGCGCAGCTCGAGGAGCGACGAGCAAAATTAAACAGTAACATGTCCGAATATGAATCGGTACAGACAGAAATCGAGTTGCTAGACGAGAGCGAGGAAAATCATCGCATCAATTTCGAGGAAGCCTTTTTCACTTTAGCGGCGAGAATGCGAGAACTCGTAACGCCGCGATCAATTCCGTCGCGTGCAACAACAAGATCTCCCTCGAGTGAACTTGATCTGCCGAGATGGTCAGCGCATATCAGACTTCCGAAATTAGATCTTCCGACTTTTTCGGGCAAATACGATGAATGGTCTCCATTTTTTGACGCGTTTCAATCAATTATACATTCCAATGAGTCGATAACTGCCGTACAAAAACTTCAATATTTGAAAGGCTGTTTGAAGGAAGACGCGAGTAAAGTCATTAGTTCCTTGGAGATTTCCGCTTTGAATTATGAAGTGGCCTGGAATTTATTAAAAGAACGCTACGACAACAAGCGCGTTATCGTGCAAACACACGTTCGAGCGATCATGCAATTGCCGTGCATGAGCAAAGAAAATTCCGTCGAACTGCGTCAAATCGCGGACGGTGCAATGAGACACGTTCACGCTCTCAATGCGTTAGGGCGTCCAACGTCTCAGTGGGATGACCTTCTCATACTCATTTTGACCGATAAATTAGATGCACGTACATCTCGAGAATGGCAATCATCTCTAGACACGCCCGATCTGCCTACGCTACAACAATTTATAAAATTCCTTACGCGTCAATGTCAAATGCTAGAAGCTACCAGTAAGGTCACGCCAAATACAAAAAATAACCCGCGTTCTCAAACGAGTCGTCAAATCGCCTGCGCCGCCGCGACTACATCAAAGTGCGGTCATTGTAACGGTGAACACTCGATATATTACTGCAAGGATTTCTTGGCGCTTACAATTCCGCAACGCGTTTCGGAAATTCGTAAAAAGAAAATTTGTGTCAATTGTTTGCGTTCTACAAGTCATGCTTCGAACAAATGCTCTTCCGGCGGTTGCAAGATATGCAAATCAAAACACAATTCCTTGCTGCATCTCACAGCAGCTTCCTCAACCGAACACACAAACAGTGATAAAGAAAATCGCGAACCACCTGACGCGGCAAAATCACCTAATATCATAGCAACGCATGGCTTAAACGCACGCAGCAATCAAGGGGTAATTCTTTCTACTGCACTCATACATGCATACGACAGAACAGGCTCACTCGTACCCTGTCGCGTACTCCTAGACTGCGGATCGCAAGCAAGTTTCATTTCGCGGAGCTATTTAAATAAACTCGGCATTCAGCCACGGTCGTTAAATATTTCGATCACCGGCATCAATGACGCATCTACTAAAGCATCACAAATAGCGCAGGTACAAATCAAATCGCGAGTAGATTCATTTACCGCTACATTAGATTGTATAGTTACCGATAGAATAACAGACAAAATGCCTGCGTACACACTCAAGCAAAAGGATTTCGAAATTCCGAGAAACATCAAATTAGCTGACCCTAAATTCAACGTATCAGCTGACGTGGATATCCTTATAGGCGCGGAAATCTTCTGGTCAATATTATGTATCGGTCAAATAAAGGCTTCAGCCAACCATCCGATCTTGCAAAAAACAAGATTTGGATGGATTCTGGCGGGACGATTAACTCCTTCTTCACACAAATCGCAATGCATTCGAGCCTTTCACGCGACAATAAGCAATTCGCAGTTGCATGCGCAATTAACTCGTTTTTGGCAGCTAGAAACTGTTAGCAATCCAAGACATTACACCGACGAAGAATCTCGTTGCGAAGAGAGTTTCTTAAACAATTTTACACGCAATGATCAGGGTAGATACATTGTCAAACTTCCTTTCAAGGATCAAGCGAACGGCAAACTCGGAAATTCAAAAGATTCTGCATTGAAACGGTTCTATAATCTCGAGAAAAGATTTAAGCGTTATCCGGATCTTAAAGCTCAATACGCACACTTTTTACGTGAATATCTCGCACTTGGACATATGAAACAAATACACGAATCGGTAGATGGCTTAAGCGAATCTTTCTATCTTCCTCACCATTGCGTATTCAAGAGCGCATCACCAGCTTCCGGTATCCGCGTAGTTTTTGACGCGTCCAGTAAAAGCAGTACCGGCGTTTCTTTAAATGACATTCTCATGACGGGCCCGGTAGTCCAGCAAGACTTGATTTCGATTTTACTGCGTTTCCGAACCTTTCGTTATGTTTTTGTAGCCGATATTATTAAAATGTATCGCCAAATTCTTATAGATCCTTCCCATGCGTGCTACCAACGAATTTTGTGGCGGGAGGACCAGGCTTCAAAAGTACAAACATTCGAGCTTGCCACCGTTACATATGGGACCACCCCCGCGTCATATCTAGCAACAAGATGTCTTAAGCATCTTGCTGAATCGAATCGCGATAAATACCCAATGGGCTCCGTATGCGTAGAGCGCGACCTTTATGTTGACGATTTGCTCTCGGGAGCCGATACTCTAAGCGAGGCAGTCAAGGCGCGAGACGAGACCATTAACTTGTTGCGATTAGGATGCTTCGAACTTAGTAAATGGGCATCAAATTCTCCAGAATTGCTAAAAAATATACATGATCAAACTGATAACACGGTTATAATCAATCACGAAGCGAGTTCGCGAATTTTAGGCATGCATTGGAATCAATCCTTGGACGAGCTTCACTTTTCTTACATTCCTGACGCGGAGCATAAGAATTTAAGAATCGAAGCGCGTTATCCTATCCGAAGTTTCGCGTTTATTTGACCCCCTGGGTTTACTAGGTCCGGCCGTAGTCTTGTCAAAACTTCTGTTGCAAGATCTGTGGCAATTGGGCATGCACTGGGACGAATCGGTCCCCCCAGATATCAACACGCGCTGGAACAAGCTCAAGTCTCAGTTCGAAGATTTCAATCGGTTAAAAATTCCGCGTTGTATAAAATTTAATTCAGAGTCGCAAGCAACTCAGATACACGGTTTTTGCGACGCGAGTCAACGGGCATACGGAGCATGCGTCTACGTGCGTACACAGATAGGTCCGGAAGAATTTGGGTGCAAGTTGCTCGCCTCAAAGTCTCGCGTTGCTCCGCTTAAGGCACTCTCGTTGCCCCGATTGGAGTTATCGGCTGCTCTTCTATTAGCGCAACTAACTGATAAAATCAATGATTCATTTCCAATAACTAACATGAAAATCTTTCTCTGGTCCGATTCTACAATAGCCCTAAACTGGATATCTTCGCCATCCCGGAAATGGGCAATTTTTGTTGCTAATAGAGTCGGCGAAATCCAGCGTCTTACAAACCTTAATTCGTGGCGTCATGTTTCATCGGCTGACAATCCAGCAGACATTTTGTCTCGAGGTCTACATCCGCGCGAACTTGAAAATTCTGCGATGTGGTGGAATGGCCCAGCCTTTTTGATGACACGCGAGAGCCTTTGGCCAAACGGTGAATTTACTATTTTGAGTAACGACATTCCCGAATCAATTCGAACAACGGTAGCCGTCGCTACCATTGAAAACTCCGTTGTAGAGGGTTTATTAAGGAAGCATTCTAACCTAAATAAAATTTGTCGTATCCTGGCATATTGCCTAAGATTTTCCAAGGCTAGAAGATCCGATTCATTCACGTCTTTCGTAACTTGCGAAGAAATTTCCTTTGCCTTAAATGTGATGTGCAAAACGGCACAGAAAACGGACTTCCCCGAGGAATACCGAGCCTTAAGCAAGGGTGAGGCTATCAGAACAACTAGCAATCTGCTATCGTTGTCCCCTTTTATCGATACCAACGGTCTAATTCGCGTGGGCGGTAGGCTAAAAAACGCCGAGCTACCTTTCGACACATGTCACCCAATTTTGCTATCGCGAAATCACATTTTAACGAGACTCATTATACTACGAGAGCACGAGCGCAATGCTCATGCTGGCCTACAAGCAACCATGGCTGCCGTAAGGCAACGCTTTTGGCCCCTATCCCTGCGATCGGTCACTCGCAAAATCTTGCAAAATTGCGTCACGTGTTTTAAAAACAAACCGACTATCTCAGAAGCGATAATGGGCGCATTGCCGGCCGGGCGAATAACGGTTTCCAGGCCATTTCATCATTGCGGAATTGACTATGCCGGACCGTTATTAATACGTGAAGGTAAACGCTCGAATCAGCAAGGCTTACGTAGCAGTTTTCGTTTGTTTTGCCACGAAGGCAATTCATATTGAGCTTGTGAGTGATCTCACTTCAGAGGCCTTCATCGCGGCACTCAAACGTTTCGTTTCACGCAGAGGCAAACCCGCTGTCATATATTCTGACAATGGGACGAATTTCGTAGGCGCTCAAAAACAGTTACACGAATTCTATGAGTCACTCGGTCGCGATAGCGCACAAACTGACATCAATAATTTTTTACGCGATCAAAAGACCACCTGGAACTTCATTCCACCTAATGCTCCGCACTTTGGCGGACTATGGGAGGCGGCTGTAAAGTCAGCCAAACATCACCTTTATCGAATCATTGGGAGGGCACATTTAACCTTCGAGGAGGTACAAACCGTTTTATGCGAGATCGAAGCAATTCTAAACTCGAGGCCCCTCACGCAATTAAGTTCGGATCCGAATGATCTAACCTACCTTACCCCCGGGCACTTTTTGGTTGGCACTCTCTTGAACGGTTTCCCTTCTAGCGACTTATGTGATGTCAACGAAAATCGCTTACTGCGATGGCAACGCGTCGAGCAACTCCGGCAGCATTTTTGGCGCAGATGGAGCTCTGAATATCTGCATTCCCTACAGGAGCGTCATAAATGGAAGGCCAACAAGGGCCCACAATTAAAGGAAGATCAACTAGTGCTTTTAAAGCAGCAAGGTCTGGCACCTTTGTACTGGATGCTCGGACGTGTGGTGCAAATACACAAGGACTCTAGCGGCAATGCAAGGTCCGCCGTCATTAAAACTTCAAAGGGTTCATTAGTTAGACCACTGTCTAAAATAGCAATACTACCAATAGACTCTTAAGCTTTTTTGTTTTTATATTTAGGCTAAGTCTTTCTTTATCGTAAGTTTTAGTTTAGTCTGTAAAATTACTCTCAATGTCTAATTAAATCTTCAATTTATTCGCGCATAGTGCAATAAATTTACTCTTTTGTTCGCTCATTGTAACAAGCAGAACGCTTGCGGTAATCAGTCTTAATTTTATAGCCCGTAATGTTAGGCATCTAGTCTTGTTCAATGCAATTGAAAGCAAGTCCTTTCAAGGGGGGGAGGATGTTTAGTACACTTAAGTGTCCCGCGGGAGCATTCGCGCTAGCGTTCGCTTTCCGCTCTCGTTTCGCCTAGCGGCGCTTCTGTACTTCACGAGAGGGCACCTCTAGCTGGCCTTGGCGTGTGAGCCGTTCTTGTCCTCTCTCTGCTCTCGGCCCTTGAGCCACGTTATACCTTTGTCACACATAGGCACGCAATATCTTGTGCAATAATTAGTAATAAGAAAGGCATTCTGAGCAAGCTACTGTACGTATTTGTGAGTTCTGAAATATACATATTTTTAAACAAGAGGAACGCAACTTTTTTCCTCGACCACGTGGCTACGAAGCACTCTTCCCGTCGGCATATACGTGGAGGGCATTCCAGCCCCGACAAAACAGTTATCATACCTCGGAAGTATGTTGATCACTTAATTAAAATAATATTAAAAAATCAATATTATGTATTTACAATGATTATAATATTATAAAAATAATATTATATGTGTTAAGAACTTCTAGGAACTATGTCAAAAAAGCTATACCTGCATCAAATGAAATAGCCATCTCATCTCTTACCCTATTTAAAGTAGTTGTACCATCACAAAATGTTAAGACGCCTGTAACTCATCGTATTACACCTATACAAATTCCTAGCACTAACTGAACATCATCACATTTCTATGAATCATTCATATGAACCATTTCTATGAATACGTATTGCATCATATGCTGAATGATTTAACACAGAGCTCGGCAAGAACTGCATATTTCGGCCGATTTTCAGCTGGCTCCACCTAGCGTGTCCCCCCTTACCTCATCGTCCCGCGCAAAGCCTACGAGCCGCTCGGCGCTCAGGAGCGGGCGTATGGCAATAGCTTTCCACGTCACCCATGAGGTACTATTATTGACGCGTTTTTTTTTAAGTGGTATCCCCAGTAGGCCTAATCCACTGATGACTAAAATGACCCTTTAACTAATTACATAAGACGATAAAGTTTATCATATCTTATGCGACTTGCTACATGCCGTATGCAAATAGATGTTCCTGATCTCGCTTGTAAAAAATCCCGAAAGCCATAAATATTCATCATATCAATTATTATTTATAATTCCGTGCAATTAGTTAAAGGGTCGTTTTAGTCATCAGTGGATTAGGCCTACTGAGGATACCACTTTAAAAAAAACGCATCAACAATAGTACCTCATGGGTGACGTGGAAAGCTATTGCCATACACCCGCTCCTGAGCACCGAGCGGCTCGTAGGCTTTGCGCAGGACGGCGAGATAAGGGAGGACGTGCTAGGCGGAGTCAGCTGAAAATCGACCGAAATGTGCAGTTCTTGCCGAGCTCTGATTTAACAAATGTGTTATATATATGTAATAGTGAAATTTATTTATTTTTAGGTAATGATACGACATCTGAGTCTACCACTTTTGAGTCTCCAGAAATATCACTTCAAGCGTCAGCTCAGCAAACACAAGCACAGTTTCAATGCCAAACACCATCTTCATCTATAACACAAATTGAACCAGTGTCAGCAAGAGAGGAAATTGTACAACAAATCCTCCGCGAATAATGACTTAAGCTATAGCAAAGACAGTTCCTGTATCTGACAATTTTAATAAGAAGAAAAGGAAAATGAATGATGATCTCACAGACGCATACATTAAACAATCTGAAGGATTAAATAATCTGGCTGTACAAATTTCACAGGCATTGGTTGCAAAACAAAATCCAGCACTTGCTCCTGCAGCAACCCTAGATCCTATCTTAGGAGCAATCCAAGTGGCACTAACAAAAGTAAAGGAGGCAAAGAAATTTCAAAGCATGTTAGATATTCTGCATTACATAAATGAAAAATATGTAAAAATTGATGAATGAGATAGTGGAGATAAGTTTAATGTCATGTATTATTATTAGTTTTATTTTCTGAAAATTATTTTTGCAGATTTAGAAATAGAAATTTATGTTGCAGAAATAGAGGTTTATTTATATAGCAGAAATAGGTTTATTTATGCAAAAATTAATTTATGTTGAAGAAATTAATTTATGTTGCAGAAATTTTAATTTATGTTGCAGATTTGTGCTTTTTTTTAACTTGTTACAAAGAGAAGATAAGATTATAAAATTATTAATTATATAATATATTATTATATATAAAAGAATTATTTTTAAATAAATAAAGGGAATGCAATATTATGAAAAGTGTGCAAGTTTATTAATGTAAAAAATTAAAATTGTATGCACAGAATATAAATAACATTTTATAAACAGCGCAATCTATATAACAAATCAGTCTTATGTTATTTCTATCTATATAACGAACATCCGTGCAGGGTTGCTAGTCCCCCATCGAGCGCCTCCCTAGGTGGCGGATTGGGGAATGCTCTCCAGTTTGGAGGGTACCGGGGAAATAAAATACCCGGGGCGGATCAAAACTAGCATTATAGCAATGAATAAAACAGTCACGGAAAGTTGTACCCCAGGTGGCAATCCGAGCAAAGTCTCGGAAAATCCACCCTCCTTGGAGGCAGGCCCCCCCGGATTCTGAAGGAGAGCCAAACATTGCATAATAAGAAAGCGATCGACAATGCCATCCTAGAAGATGGGTTACATCCCAGACAGCACACCATGTCCAATGGACGTCCAGTTTTGGTTTTTATTTAGTCCAAACGTCCATGGACATAATATGAACGTTTTAAGAATATCCATTATTGGACATTCAAAGTATATTAATATTTAGATGTTTTAAAAATGTTTATTATTGGACGTTAAAAGTATATTTATATTTAGACGTTTTAAAAATGTTTTATGTATATATAAAAAAATTTCGTCTAAATTTTGTTTAATTTTTTGGTTGGATTTGGGAACCACGCTCTTAGTGTCAGAGTGTCGTTCTATCTTTGTTATTTATGAAAAGATGAACAAGGACACTCATTTAGAGTGCTAATAAGTCCCGGTCTACAATGGGAGATTTAAGTTTTAAACTTGAAGAAATTGATTAATCACAGTTGAGTATTCTCCTTATACTTGACTATGATTAGTCAATTTCTTAAAAAGCTTAGGGCTTAAAATACTTATTGCAAACCGAGACTAAGAGCGTGGCTCCCGAACGCAGGCCTGTTAATGTTCTTTCAAGCACCGTGTGAGCATTCATTTGTTTATGTTTCTAAGGTGCGTTCGGGGAGACGCTATTCGCGTTCAAAGCATCATACTATCTTTGTTATTCATTGCACGTTAAAGGAAGATAGAACGACGCTTTCAGCGCTAATAACGTTCTCCTCGAACGCACCTCTAAACGTGTATGTGATATTCAATTTTTTCTTATCCTTTCCGCCTTTGCCTTCTCGAAGAAGATGTTGCGCATATACTAGAAGGTAATCCTTACAGTTATTTCATTATTATATTCATTAATAAAATCTATAAAATTATAAATTAATTAGCGTACATATTTTTTCATATATTTTTCATAATATTTTCCGTGCACTTGTAAATTCAGTCTTTCGAAAAGTAGGGTTATGATCCCGTAAAGTAAGATTATGATCCCAGATAGCAAAGCGTTCCTTGGCAACTGAAGGAAAACTTGTGCCAAGCAACGATTTCCTTTCTTATGTCAAGGAACGCTTTGCTATCTGGGATAACAAAATTCCAAATAAAATAAAAAATATAACTAATCCTAAGACATATCATTTCATATGACATTCTGAAATGCATCATCTGAATTCTTTAATCGTTTTTAACAATTCACATTGATTTTTATTTCATATATATCCCATCCATGCATAAAGACACTCTAAAATTTTATCGCAAAACATTTATTTAAAATTTTGAATATAGTACAATATAATTCTGCATTTTTCTATATCATATCTTTTTCTTATAATTTAATCAAGTTTTATATTACAGACCATCTGTTACATACAGTGGAGGAGGAACATTTTACAAAAAACATTTAACACAACATTTTGTTTTATCTGGAAGTCAACATTGGTAACATACTGTTTTGTCTCTGGAAGTCAACATTGAATATAAGGTAAAATATTATATAATTATATGTTTATAATCTTTGTGCTCTTGAAGCAATTTTTGCTTTTTTATATATACAATGTCTCATTTAGTAATATGTATATGTATACATATATATATATATTTTGTGTGTGTATATATATATATACATATAAAAGTTATTATATTATATATGCATGTATATGTATATATATATTGTACATATAAGTTATACAGCATCTCAGAAGTAATCTGTATTAAGTTATATTTTTCGAAAGGTATGCAGTAAAACATTTTTCAATTTAAATGTAACTAAAATTTACCCATAATCCATAATAATGTCACTTACTGAAATATTTTTGTAAGATTTGAAAATTAGCATTGATCTGAAACTAACAAAAATTTTAAACAGTCTACTAAAAATTTACAAAGTGACTTAATATAGTTTATCTCTAAGATGTTGATGCTGATATATTTCATATACATTCATATATATACATTCATATAATACATACATTCATATACATACATTCATATTGCTATTGAAAAAATTTTAAATTTTAAATAAAACAAAAAATAAATTTGTATTAAATTTAATTACAAAATTAGTTACAAAATTAACCGAATAAAATATTTTTTATATAAATGTAGATTTTATTTTTAGCTCTGCGAATCTGTTGTTCCATCAGCATCTATTTTCTCATCTGTAAGTTGATAATTTAATAATGTCCGAAATTAAGAAATATTATATGAGAGCAAAGAGAAAGCGTCTCCAAGAAGAAGTCTTTTCTGAGCCTAATTCTTCTACAATTATTACAAGATCCTCTGAACCAACAAATATAAGTATCCTACCAACAAATATTTTTAGCAATGACACACAACTAGAACCGCAACCAGAACTTTCTGAAAACATTTTAGAATCAGATCTGTTCTTTTATCTGATAAATCAAGTGAATATTTTCCACTTTTCTCCCATTCACCTTCAGATTCAAGCAATTTTGATATATACAAGTATTTTCCTCATGATGGTACTAAAGAAAATAATTTCGAAGAAAATATAATACAATTAAGTTTAAGACAGTGGTCATTGACGCATAATATTTCGCATGCAGCATTAAGTGACTTATTAAAATTATTAAAAATTCGTATTCCTGAATTACCCACAAATGCTCGAAGTCTTTTAAATACTTGTCGTACAATTATAAATAAAGTTATTGAACCTGGGCAATATTATCATTTCGGTGTAGAGAATTGTATAAAAAATCTTATAAATGATTCTAATGATTTTTTTAAGAATACTGGAATTATAGAACTTGCAATTAATATAGATGGTCTGCCTTTGGCAAAAAGTTCTGGAAGTCAAGTTTATCCCATTTTATGTCGACTTGTCAAACATCATAGTAATGTAGATATGATTGGCATTTATCATGGCTATGAAAAACCTAAAAATGCTAACTGTTACTTAAGCGATTTTGTTGAAGATATATCAAATGTTATTAATAATGGAATTGTTATCGATACTAAACATTATTCTGTCAAAATTTCTCATTTTATTTGTGATGCAGTAGCGAAAACTTATATCACCTATACAGTTGGTCATATGGGTTATTATTCGTGTACTAAATGTTGTGAGGAAGGTACTTATATTAATAATCGTGTCTGCTTTCCTAATACTAATCATTTACGTTTAAGAACAGATACAGATTTCAGATTAAAAGTTCAAGAAGATCATCATAAAGGCACTAGCTTATTAGAACAGATTCCTGGTCTTGATATGATTAAATCTTTCCCCTTAGATTATATGCATTTAATTTGCCTTGGAGTCGTAAAAAAATTAGTAGTAAATTTATGGTGTTTTGGAAAACCTTCTGTAAAATTATCATATCGGGATATTGCAAATATATCTTCCAATTTAATTAATCAAGCTAAAAATATACCAATAGAATTTAACCGTAAACCTCGATCATTACTTGAAGCAAAAAGATGGAAAGCTACTGAGTTTAGGCAATTTTTGTTTTATACTGGTCCTGTTGTACTTCGAAAAATATTAAATAATAATAGATATATAAATTTTCTTTGTTTACATGTTGCAATAATTATATTAACGTCTTCAAAATACTCATGCTTTATTGATTATGCTACTAAACTTCTTTCGTATTTTGTGAACACATTTAAAATTTTATATGGTGCAGAAAATATATCTCATAATGTTCATAATTTGTTGCATCTTTCTGAAGATGTAAAAATTCATGGCCCATTAGACAATTTCAGCGTTTTCCCATTTGAAAATTATTTACAAAGTATTTTAAAATCTATTCGCAAAGGTGAAAAACCGTTAGCTCAGATAATTAAAAGGAAAAGCGAACAAAATTTTCATCAAGTTCAAATAGTAGAAAGGACAAAGAAAAAATATCCTATTTATGAAAAGGAACATTTTGCTGGTCCGATTCTTAATCTTTACATTTGTAAACAATTTAAAAAAATTATTTTACAAGACTTTGTGTTGCGTATAGATCATCCTAATAATTGTTGTACTCTTATAAATGGAGACATAATTTTAATTGAAAATATTGTGCATTGGAATAATGACTTTAAATTAATTGGCAGAAAGTTTTTGATCGTTGAAAATTTCTATACGCGTCCCTGCGAATCAAAAGATATTGGAATTTGTTCTGTTGACAATATTGGCTCTCTTGAAATATTTAATGTAGCAGATATTTCATTTAAATGTGTGATATTAAATTGGGAAGAAAAACATGTAATATTTCCATTAATACACTAATGCAAACATTAATTGCTAATGTTATCATCAACGATTACTATGTATTATCTTTTTTACTGCAGAAAAACGTTTTCAAATTTATGAAAAATAGTTTTGTTCTTTTTTCAATTTTTTTAAAACTGATTTAAACATTATATTGACTTCTTTAAACTGATTTTAAACTGATTTTTAAATTTAATTAATTTTAAAGATTTAAGATTTTCCTGATCTTATATGTATATATTTCGCAATTACCTTCTATTAACAAATTGTTTTATATATATTTACTATTATATATGCTATTAACAAATGTTTTTTTTATAAAATTGAAATAAAAAGATGTTGTGCATTGCTTATAATTTGTTAAGAAAAAAAGTCAATGAATGGTTATTCTTTACTTTTCATTTTTTTTAACCATTAAAGTTATTGAAATGGTTACATTCTTGATTACGAGTTGTTTACATTTAAATTGTTTATATTTTAGTTGTTTATGTAGAAGATGTGTGAACAAACGTGGACTGTTATTCAATTCGAAGAAGATTGTTCTGTGGAAGCGGTACCCTCAACATGGATACAAGGGCAGTTTTGCCATTGGCCTACATATTCACAAGAAAAATTAATGACTGCAATAAGAAAACATGAATCTTTAAATACACGCTGGCCCTGCTATAAAATTAGAAATTTCAGAAATTCTACTTTTGGTGAGTTCTTATATTTAAAATAAATGTTATAGTTTGAAAGGAAAGGCTCAAATAAAATATCATTGATGTAGTAAAACGCGCTGCATGAGACTTTTGTGCGGTAAATAATGCGCGAAGTGTATATAATAGATATTTATTTTTTATTATTTGTGTTTCAGCTCTTGTTCGAGTCTTCTTTAGCAACAATTAAACAATCAAACTCTACACGCATTATTTACGCGTCAGGCTCTCACATAACCTGCTTTACTTTATCTAAAATGTATTTACTAGTTTTTATATGATTACATAAAATAAATGCAAAATATAACAAATATATTTTTTAATTTTTATAGAAGACTATTCCAAAGCTCGCTCAAAAGCACGTACCGCTGAAGTGACAAGTGATTTAAATTCTGAAATAGAAGAAAACCCTAAAAGAAAAAGAATTCAGAAAATGTTTACTTCATCAGAAGAGGATAATAATGAGGATTTAGAAACCTCATTATTATCACAACCACCAATATTACAAACGAAAACTAAAATAAAGCAGAATAACTTTAGTTCTTTAAACAAAGCAAGTTCTACATCACTTAACGTAAATCAGTCTACATATGATGAGTCTTCATACAATACAGAAAATAGTAAGTTTTTATATTTATATATTAATTCATATATTGATTAATCGTATATTTTAATTAATATTTGTGCATAGTATAAATATTATTGTTTATATATAAATATAAATATAAATATAAATATATATATATATATATATATATATATATATACTATACATTTGTTTGTGACGCATGCAATTATCTCGTAAGGTTAGCAATATAGAAAAAAAATGTTGTATACAAAAGTTGTAGAGGTCAGAAGTCTTGTGTCGTAAGCATGATCTTATTCTAGGTGGAGGCATTTTTAAGATTTCGAGGTCATCATCATTACTTTTTTAATATTTGGCAAAAAAATTGTTAAAGTTGAATAGTCGTAGAAAACTGAATGGTTTACGAGATATTTTATACTTCATTCTGACATATTTTAACAAAAAATATGAAATATGTAATATACTCATTTTTCAATAAATCTTACCTTAATAATTTTCTGCATAGAATAATGAGATAAATCAATTGGTATAAAAAAATAGTTATTTAAAAAAAGTGCAGTTACACATTGCAAACTGCAATTTTTTTTAAATACAAGAGTGTTTTTCATAAAATATCTTGTAAACCATTCAGTTTTCGACTATTCAATTTCAACAATTTTTACGTCAAATATTACGAGGAATCGATTTATGTAAGAAAATTATAGTAGTTCCGTTTAAAAAAGTAATGACTTAGAAATCTCAAACATGCTTCCACCTGGAATAAGATTATGGTTACGACAAAACGTCCCTCTCTTAATCTTACAACTTTTGTATAAATTTTTTGCTACATTGCTAACGTTACGAGATAACTGTGTGCGTCATTTAAAATTTGCCACTCTGTATAAATCTTTGAGGGACAATTTCTTTCTGTATACATTACATACCGTACAATCCATGTGCCGCAATACTATAACAAACGACAAATATTTATTACATATAATTTCTTATTCAAAATTATATATGCTTATTATAAATCTAATTTCTAGAATTAGATTTATAATAAGCATATAGAATTTTCTACATTTTTTTCTTTTTTGTTTACATATATATATATATATATATATATATATATATATATATCTTATATTTTAAAAATACTTTTTACAGATAATTCAATTCTTAGTGAAAATGTTGATTCATCACGATATTATGAAACAACGCCAGTTAGTAAGTGTATTTTATATACAATTTTATTTTTCTTTTATAGTCTTATACATATTTATAGAAATAATTTCGAGAAACACTATATCGACAGTGTTTAAGAAATAATAGAAAATTAAATATTTTTATTTAAAAAATTAATTTTTTTACAAGAATTGGTTAATATACATACAAATTTTTCTGTAGGTACGCCATGCAGTTCAGCTTGCTCTAGTAAGAGAAAGAAACTTGATGGTAATAAACATTATTTACTAGTCATTACACATACATATACACGCACACACGCGCGTGCGTATGTGTAATGACTAGTAAATTTAAATATAAATTGAAATGACTTTTTCAGAGAAGACTGCTAAGAATTTAGTGGCTCAAAATTATTTAATACGAAGTATTGTTATTGACATATTGTCTGAGGTTAAAGAAATTAAACTGCAACTAAAAACTAACTCTCAAGAAACAAGTACCAAAGAAAAGGAAGAAATAATTTCAATATTCAATAATAAAGATGTACATTTTCCGCTTAAAACTGAAAAAGATCTTCAGACAGTGGAACTCATTCTAGAGAATGATGATGAAATTACTAAAGCGGTAATTAAAGTTAAGCTTATATTTATTTATTTTAAAAATAATTTATATTATATAGTATATGCATATAATGTAAATATGTATATAATGTAAATTATTTTTAAGTTAATCATGTAGTGAAATAAATTAAATGAAATAAATATTTCTATTAAGACTTTTTATATGTAAAATGTTCTTTTTTTTAAATTATATTTAGTTTGTAAGCAACATTTATTTATTTTTTAGATGAATGAGTTGATACAAATAGGAGGGAATAATGGATATGAATTCATTAGAAGAGCTTTATCCATGATGCTAACTAATGAGATTGCAGATAAATATAGTTTTTTTGGAAGAAAAAAGAAAAAATCCTTTTGTAATCTCAACATTTGCAAACTTTTAATAAGTGAGTATTACATTCTAGAAAAGTTTCAAATAAAAATTTCAAACAAAAATAAATTCAATGAAAACTAATATATGGATATTCATCTCTCATTTTGTTGTAAATTAACTAATTTTATGTTTGATTTTAATAATAATATATTATTTTAAATAGGTGCATCACAAAAAGGACGATATTGTGAAACAACCAAAGAAGCGGAAAAATTTATTCAAGGATGGTTAAGAAGAGCTGCTGAAAGGGGAAAATTAAGGAAATAATTTTATTGCTTATATTGGCATTTTTCCGTGAAGATTTATTCCAAGATAAATAATTTGCATCAGCTGTAGTGCATTGGGAACTCATAATCGCTGAAACGTCCTTTAATATCGCAACATACGAAGCAAAAAAGAAAAACGAATAACTGATTTAATTTTTGATATTTTAAAGAGATAATTTTCATTTTTTAGTTAATTTTATTTATACTTATACACGATGTCCGATGTCGATTGCTCCACCCATCGTATGCAGGTAGAGACAGTTAACAAATAAGAAAGTTATCTACCGTTTTGTGATCTTCTTTCTCGCGTTTATTTTTCTTATGTTTTTCTCTTTTTCTTGCGTTTTTCTTATCTCTTTCGCAAGAAATTATATAATATATATTTTAGATGTAACAAAGCTTATGCAGAATAATGTATTATAATGTGTTGATAAAAATTAGATGTTTTATTTTATGTTGCATTATTTGAAGATATTGATAAAAATTAGATGTTTTATTTTATGTTGCATTATTTGAAGATTATTGTTTTATATAATAATATACTAACAAACAATAATAAAACATAAAATATAATAAAATTAAGCTACTAAATTTGTTCTTTCTTTACTAAAGTTCAATTTTAATGCATTTTTAAGAATTTAATTTGTTTTAACAGTTACAATTTTTTGCGCAATTAATAAATTGCTAACAAGTTAACTCCAATTTACATTAAAAATGAACAATACTTTACCTATACCTATACCTAATACTATAATAAAAAATGCAGACGTTCGAAAAACATTCAGAAAATATCCAGAGAATGAAAATTCGTCCTCTGGATGTCTTCTGAGCGTCTTTCGAACATGTGTGCTGTTAGGAATAATAAAATATTCCTTTAATGTTCGAAACAGGTCCAATTTTAGTCCGTTCAGTTCTTAAAATGGACATTTTTTGATTGTCCAAATTAGTAACACTGGACATATTTAAGAAGTCCTAAACATGTCTGTGGCTCTAATCTGGATGTTTTAAATATGTACGAAACGTCCAATATGTATATATTTAATACGTTTTTAAAATATTATTGTGCTGTCTGGGATACAAGTAAAGAAAAACTGTCATTAAAAGATACACCAGGAATATCCGCATATCTAAGCAGGCCACGATCTCAATCTCTAAGTGATTCAGCTGGTGACACAAAGGGCGAGGATTGGACGATTATATCCAATAAAAAAAACTAAGAAATAGTCCCGACCAAAATGTCAAGATCCATAAGCAATTTAAAATAAATGAATATTGGCTAGCTGCAGCAGCCAATATTCATTTATCCCAACCTCCAACAAATTCGATGGCCTCAGTAATAACATCAATGAAGCAGAAGATCCACCAAAGCATGAATTGCCGTCAAAACCTCCTCCAATTTTTATTGATAGAGTCAGCAACATACAGCCTCTTATCCAAATGCTTAACGAATTCATCAAGACTGACTATAATCTAAAAATATTAAGAGACGAACAAGTAAAAATTCAACCTAAATCTTCCATGGCTTACACTACCATAGTCAAACTAAATGTTCAGTTAAAACTAAATGAAACTGAGTTCCATACATATAAACCCAAAGAGGAAAGAAGCTTCAGAGTAATATTGAAAAATATACATTTTTCAACTGATGTGACTGAAATTAAAACTGAATTAGAAAAATTGGGGCATACAGTTACAAATATTTGGAATGTTAAGCAAGGAATAACTAAGAAACCTTTATCAATGTTCATAGTTGAGTTAAAACAGGATACAAATAATAAAGATATATACAATATCAGAAATCTACTTCAGTGTCACATCATTTTTGAACCCCCGCGCCCTAAAAGGGTGATCCCACAGTGCGCGAGATGCCAGAGGTATGGACATACTAAATCATATTGTCATCATAAGCCAGATGTATAAAATGTACTGGTAACCACCTTTCAACCGACTGCACCAGAAAAAGGAAGGCTGACGGCCTATGTGCTATATGATAGAAATCACCCAGCCAACTACAAGAGTTGTACAGTGTATAAGGAACTACAGTACAGCAAATATCCTAGTATGAGACCCAAGAAACAATCTACTCTAACAACAGATAAAACGGTGCTAGAGACATGTAGTCAAGCAAATAAATCATGCTCCAACGTACAACCAGGCGTAACATATGCGCAGAAAATCAAATCACATAGAAATCTCATCATTAGAAATCTCACTAAAGAGGATCTTGAAATCCAATCAGTCTCCATGCAGATGCCAAATGATACAGATAATTTATATAAGTTAATAAAAATGCTCAACGAGGTTATGGAACAAATAAGTACAATGACAAAACTAGTGGTAAGCTACGTTGGCAGACTGACAGCATCTTCAACGATATAAGGTTAGCACTATGGAACGTCAATGGGCTTTCCCAACATTCACTTGAGTTAAAAGCATTTATTACAACTCATGAAATTGACATAATGCTGATCTCTGAAACACATTTTACGCATAAAAATTACTTCTCTATGCCATATTATAAATTTTATCAGACAAATCACCCGGATGACAAAGCACGGCTATTATTGTGAGGAGAAGCATCAGACACTTCGTGAGCATTCATTCAGTAGTAATCACATTCAAGCCACTTCTATCGTTGTTAATAGCCGTACCGGACAACTTACTATAGCAGCGGTTTACTGTCCCCCAGATACTCCATAACGAAAGACGAATATGTGTCATTTTTTGATGCTCTTGGTCGACGTTTCATAGCCGGAGGAGATTACAATGCCAAACATCCCTTGTGGGGATCAAGGCCAACAACACCAAAAGGACGTCAACTTTCTCTCGCAATTGACACTCTGAGTTTAGAGGTCATCTCCACAGGCCAACCTACTGGCCTTCGGATAGGAAAAAAGTACCAGACCTAATAGATTTCTGCATATCAAAAGGCATATCCAAAAACTACTTCCGATGTGAATCGATCTATGAGCTGTCCTCTAACCACTGACCGATACTAGTCTCATTGCACTCCCAAGTTTGTACAAAAGTCGCTAAAAGCAAGCTACATAATTGCAGAACAAATTGGAATAAATTTCGGGAGATTGTGGTTAACCCTAGATAAAAATATTGCTCTAAAAAGCGATGATGATATAACCCATGCAGTACAGAACTTCAATGATTGCGTGCAGAGAGCAGCATGGGAATCTACACCCGCCATCCATCAGGTAAACCTTAAACCAACTTGCTCTCAAACAGTCAAAGAACTGTTAAATAATAAGAGGGAATCGCGCAAACTCTGGCAATCGACAAGACATCCAAAACACAAAAACAGCTAAACTTCTTAACAAGAAAATTAAAGAATGTTCTGGTAAAAGAGAGGGATGCTGGAATCCAAGACTACTTAAAAAGTTTGGATGCCACAGGAGCATCTGACTATTCCTTATGAAGGGCTACGAAAAAAATAAACCAGCCTTAGCCCTCCCTTGCCTCTTTACGTAAGCAAGACGGAAGCTGGGCAAAGAGTGACGAAGAGAAGGCATTAACATTCGCAAACTATCTAAATGATGTTTTCATACCGTTAGTTGAGAGTGATTCTCAAATAGTGTGTGGGAATACCACTACTCAAGATGTAACAAATCAAACTCCGAAATTCAAGATAAAGACGTTGGAAACATTAACAAAAAAATAAACCCTAAGAAAGCTCCTGGATATGATCTTATTACAGCAAAACTTCTTTAGGAACTTCCTCCGGCTGGCGTTGAATTCCTGACGCTTATTTATAATGCCATCCTGCGGAACTCTTTTGTTCCTCTCTAATAGAAGGCGGCTGAAGTTATCTTGATTCAAAAGCCTGGTAAACCTGCGGAAGATACGAAATTGTACAGGCCTATCAGCTTATTGCCTATTGCATCGAAAGTTATGGAAATGTTAATTCTACAGAATTTAAACAAAATTATTGAAGATAAAAAAATAATTCCTGAGCACCAGTTTGGCTTCAGAAGAAACCATAATATAATAGAACAAATTCACAGAATTATCAGTAAAATAAATTACACTTTCCAAAATAAGAAATACTCTTCGGCAGTCTTCCTAGACATATCTCAAGCGTTCGACAAAGTATGGCACAATGGCCTCCTGATAAATTAGGAACATATTCCCTATTTCTTCATTCATATCTAACGAATAGACATTTTAGGGTTAGATACGGAGATGCAACATGTAAACCTATGTAAAACTGTACAATAATAGATCTTGTTTCTCGCACTGACTCAGGGGTGGTGTGGAATGGATCTCGCTTTGCATGAAAAGTTGCAAACTTGAGTGGAATTGGGTGTGTTTCGGGGTCGCATCGCTACAGTAGCGTTACTGTAGCGCTACATAAGCGTGTTTCACGTTATTAAAGCGCTATAGTACCTAGACAGCACACATGTCCAAAAAACATCTAAAAGACGATTTAAAAACGTCTTCTAGAAAGTCCTCTAGACATCTTTAAGACATCTTTTGGTCCTCTAGACATCTTTAAGACATCTTTTTGTGCTGTCTGGGTAGCGCTATAAAAGTACGTTTCAGGACTTTCTGCTACAATTGTAGCGGTCGCCATTTTTTTCTGCTACAATTGTAGCAAAAAAGCTGTAGCGCTACTGTAGCGATGCGACCCCGAAACACACCCATTGTACTTTTTAATAAACAATGAATGACTAAAACCTTTGAAATGTTATTTAAGAGGATGACCTTGACAATATATATCAAAGTCAAAGTCATACGTCCCTTTTTATGCAGGTTTATCAGAAAAACTACTAGGACGTAGTTTGAAACGCTGTGTAATTTGTAGTAGTAAAAACAATGGTATTCGAAGGTTTTAATTTAATTTGTGTATGATGAAAAAAAGTTTGCATCCAATATACCTTAACAAGCACATTTGTATATGTTTTAATAAATATTTCACATCTAACTGTTAAGTTAAAATTAAAATTCGGTTTTTTGCCACTTGCGTCATTAATATAAACATACATTTTTATTGATAATATATAGTTTATTGTACATTATTTAGTTTATTATATTGTTATATTGTTATATTGTTATATATATATTGTTATATATATGTTTATAATATCAGTATTTATATAGTACATATTATAATTATTCTTATTAGTAATTTGTTATAATATAGTAATTTGTTTATAATATTGAAAAAATATTTATAATAAAAAGCACCTGCAGAGTGTTATATTATTTCAATTTCGCCTTAATTTGCCTATGTCGAAATAGTAAAAATACGTATCGACAAAAACCGAGCGTACAGTGACTTTATAAATTGATGCGCTGGCACTTTTGGATACTGGACGGAAGGAGTGCGGTCGCGTCGCTTGGCATTTAAACGGTTAATATAGTATCTTACTTTTTCCTTTAATCACATTTGCGTTTAAAATTTAAATATTAAATTTTAATAATTTGTTTTTAAATTTTAATTATAATAAATTAACGCATAATTTTCTTTTAATTAATGTGATATATTTATATTTATTTTTGTTTCTGTATAAATGTGTATTTAAAATTTTAATAATTTATTTGTCTTCATAAAAGTGTTCGCGAGCGGATCCGGCAAGAGATTGCGCGAACGTGGAGGATAGGCCAGTGCAGTGAAACTCGTGATATCCACACAAAACGACAGTTTATTAGAGTTCAACGTGACAAGTGTACAGTGCAACGAGCGGTGCGACAAGCGAAGCGGTTAAACCCGCGGGAGATCGCGAGCGGCGTGATAGATCGAGCGTGCGGAAAATCAAAGTCCGAGAAGAATAGCGGTTGACGTATAATATTTTGCGGTTTAACTGAGCGGTAAGATTAAGCGGTATAGAAAGCGAAAAGTGCGAGACTTCGGCGTGCCCTTTCGCTGGGCTCATTATATACCGGGCGGTTTTTGGGCCCCGTTGTGACGTGGCCCAATTAACTTTAAAGTTTGGCGGTGACCTCATGGCGCCGCGCATAATTGGCCGCCGATGAGGTCAGGAAATAGCGTTGTGACGTTTGCCATGCGCACGACCTTTTTCAATCAGCTGATTGGCCATCAGCTGATCGTGACGTATGGGCGCGCATGCCCGTATGTTGTTTTAGTTTTGACGGCGGTTGACAATGTTATTGTCAATCGCTTAATTTCAAGCGTTTTTATGCGGTACAAAAACGAGCGGTGACTCGAACGTTCGAGTTTTTGTTTACCGAACGAAAGCTCGAGAAAGTTCTCGACGCCCGTTAGATTTGAAATACGGATTTTAGCAACGCGAAATTTTACATTGAGATAATCGATTACGCATTTCGAACATCCCGCCCGCCTCGTCAGCGCGTGACGAAATTCGCGAGTATGAACGGGGGCGGACAGATGTCGCGAGCGGTTCAGTTGGCGGTATCCGGATCGCAATCGATGAATGGAATGTGTGACGCAATACGATAACACGTGTTGTTCAGTTGATTTCTATCTTTCGCGAGACTAAGAGTTGCGGTAGTGAAATACGATGATATTTACAGTGAAATAATGAGCAGTAGTGCGATGTGAAGTGCAATGATTAATGGAGATCAATTGTGCATCGCTCGGGGATGCACAATGTACAGTGAGTGGGCGACTAGTGATGTGCGAATGAGGAAATCGCGGCGAGAACGCGAGATGGACGATGGACAGCTGTAATAAAAAAAAATATATACACGATATATACAATATGTACAATGTAGTGAGGCGCGCAAGACTCTACGCAACGCGGGGAGAATAGTGCCCGAGCATTATTCGTCTACGGACGCGCGAGCCCTACTCCCGGTAAAAGGACGAGTTTTACGACTGGCCGAACGAGATCCGAGGTGGAGGTGCGGACAGTCACAACGCGGACCGTGCCATCGCTTCCTGGATGCAGAGCGAGTATTCACGCGAGGGGCCATCGGGAAGGCGGGGTGATCTCCGAGCGGATGAGGCACAATGTTCCGACCTCCGGAGCGGGCTCGAAGTTGAGCCATTTTGATCGAGGTGCCAAGGCGTGGACATACTCCTGAGACCATCGCTGCCAGAAGTGGTCACGCATTCGTTGCAGCAGCTGCCACCGGGATAGGGCGTTCGGAGGCCGTTCGGCTAGGGAAGGCTCTGGGACCGCCAGTAGAGGGGCGCCTATTAGGAGATGCCCTGGAGTCAATGCGGTGATGTCGTCGGGGTCATCTGATAAAGCCTGCAATGGACGAGAATTTAAACATGCTTCGATTTGTGAAAGAAGGGTACTCATCTCCTCGAAGGTGAGCGTAGTCTCTCCTATCACCCGTCGCAGGTGATGTTTCATGGATTTCACCGCCGCTTCCCAGAGGCCTCCGAAGTGCGGCGCGGCGGGAGGATTGAAGCGCCAGGATATTCCTTCCTTGGCGACTTCCCGAGAGATGCGACGGCCGTCGGAGGACGACGCGCGGAAGAATTCTCGGAGTTGGTTGCCCGCTCCGATGAAGTTAGTTCCGCAGTCCGAGTACATTTCCTCGCACAGTCCGCGACGGGAAACGAACCTGCAGAATGCTGCGAGGAAGGCGTCAGAGGAGTAGTCAGATACTACCTCAAGATGGACGGCTCTGGAACAGAGACAGACGAACACGGCTATGAACGCCTTGTGAGCTCGATGTCCTCGCCTCTTGGAAGTGCGGAGGAATATCGGGCCAGCGTAATCGACTCCTGTCCTCAGGAAAGGGCGTGCTGGAGTGACTCGCCCCCGAGGGAGGTCGGCCATGAGGGGCCGCGGAGTGTGGGCTCGCCAGCGGGTGCATGTCACGCACCGGTGCAGTGTCCGCTTGATTACGGCTCGACCTTGCGGCACCCAGAAGCGGAGGCGAAGGAGCCCCAAAGTGAGCTGAGTGCCTCCATGAAGCGTCCGGCGGTGGCAAGACTCTATCACGAGCTTGGTGAGCCATGAAGTGGGCGACGCTATCATAGGATGTCGTTCATCGTACGTGAGTATTGCGTGTTTCAGGCGGCCGCCGACGCACAGGATCCCGTCATCGTCGATGAATGGATGCAGCCTGGCCAGGTGGCTACCGCGAGGCACTGGGCGAGACTCTCGTACGGCGGCTAGTTCAACGGCGTAGTGGATCCCTTGGACGATTCTCAGCCAGCGAATGAGGGAGGCGTCGAGCTCGTCCGAGAGCAGTGCGACGCTGGGAGGATGACGAGCGGTCCGGCGCCAACGAAGGCACCAAGCAGAGACACGTAAGAGCCTATGCAGTGTCGAGAACTGTAGGAGTATTTCAGGCTCCGGTCTGACCTTGCTGATGGCCGTTAAGACCGTGGTTTTTGTTTCAGGAACGCTGACCATTGATGCCTCGTCGCTGGCTGGCCATAGTGACGAGTCGCCGAGAAGCCAGCCGGGGCCCTGCCACCATAGGGGGTGGTTCAGCAGATCCCTCGGAGCGATCCCTCTGGAAGCACAATCGGCAGGATTCTCTTGACCCGGGACGTGTCGCCACTGCGCTTCGGGGAGCCGCTCCTGGATCAGCGACACTCTATTGGCCACGTAGGTTTTCCATCGTGAAGCATGACCCTTGATCCAGTGGAGGACAACCTTGGAGTCGGACCAGAGATATACTGGCGCCGACACCTCCAGTGATGACCGGAGGTGGTGAACGAGATTGGTCAGCAGGGAGGCAGCGCAGAGTTCCAGCCGTGGGAGCGTCACGGGCTTAATCGGCGCGACCTTGCTTTTCGCGGCCAGTAAGTGGATGGACGTCTCTTCCGTACTGGACACGCGAAGGTAGACGACGGCCGCGTATCCACGCTCAGACGCGTCGGCGAAGCCGTGGATCTCGACCGTCGGATCCTGTTGAATGACACCCAGCCAGCGCCTTATTCGGAGGCGCTCCAGCAAATGGAGCTCGGAGAGGAGGCGCTGCCAAGACTGAGCGTCCTCCGCTGGGAACGGAGAGTCCCAGTCCAGCCTTTTCAACCATGCTGACTGGATTAAGATCTTGGCGCGGATGATCACAGGAGCGAGCCATCCCAAGGGGTCGAATAGCCGTGCCGTTTCCGCCAGGACTCGCCTCTTAGTGAATTCGCCAGTGCTTCGAGGCTGGATGGCGAAGGAGAAGTCGTCGCTGGCTGGATGCCAACGCAGGCCTAAGGTGGAGTGTACCTCGCTCTCCCAGGAATGGTGAGCCTGTTTGAGTCGATGATCGGGAGGAACACCCTCAAGGATGGCCTCGCTATTGGCGGCCCATTTCCGCAGCGGAAACCCGCCCGCCGTGCAGAGCTCTCGGAGCTCCGTCTGCAGGGCGACCGCGTGCTGCAAGGTGTCCGACCCGGTGATCACGTCGTCCATGTAGCAGTCATGGCGCAGAGCGGTTGCTCCCTCTGGGGCTCGTGCCTCCTCGTCGGCCGCCAATTGGTGGAGAGTGCGGACAGCGAGGAACGGAGCACAGGCGAGCCCGTAGGTCACGGTGTTCAGCTCGTACTCTTGGATCTTGCCGGAAGCCTTTGGACGCCAGAGTATCCGCTGGAAGCGACGATCTTCAGGGTGGACGAGTATCTGCCGGAACATCTTCTCGATGTCGGTGACGAACACGAAGCGGTGCCGGCGCCAGCGAAGGAGGACATCAGCTAGTGCTGGCAGCAAGTTGGCGCCGATCAGCAGATGTCGGTTGAGGGAGTCCCCCGAGGCGGTACGTTGCGACCCGTTGAAGACGACGCGGAGCTTGCTGCAGGAGTTGGACTGGCGGAGGACTCCGTGGTGAGGTAGGTAGCATCCTGCGGTACCGACCGTATTCACAGGACTCATGTGTTTCAGGTCCTCGTACTCCTGCATAAACTCCCGATACCGGACGCCGAACTCAGGATCTCTCTTGCTCCGAAGGTCCATCGCTGACAAGAGGCTTTCAGCCGGTTTACGGGTTCCACCAAGCGACGTTGGCGGGGAAGAAAACGGGAGTCGTACTACGTATCTTCCGGACGCAGTTCGCTGGTGAGTACTTATGAAGAGGGTCTCGCACTCTTGATCCTCCGGTCTAAGGGCAACAGAGGAGGGGAGTTCCTTTTCCTGTTCCCAAAAGCTGTGCACAAGCTGATTGAGCTCTTGGTCGACAGTGCACTGCAAGGAGTTACGGAGTCCTTGGAAGGGTGCTGCGCTGGACCCCCCTGACAGGATCCATCCCAGGGCTGTTCTCTGGGCGACGGGATCTTGAGGACCACCCTTGCGAAGGCCAACCTCAAGGATGGTTGAGCAGACTTCCGCGCCCAACAATAGTTCTACCGGATCGAGCTCCTGATACCTGGGGTCGGCGAGCTCAAGACCATGAACGTGAGGCCAGGAGGGGAGGTTCTTCACCGAAGAACCCTGATAGGCCGACAGGCGCGGTAACACGAAGGCGACGGCCTTGAGTTTGGCCCCGGTGATCATCGAGGAGAGACTGAGTGCCACTCTCCCGCGGATTGACCCGGATCGTGACTCGCCGATGCCGATTATGGACACTGAGGAGCGGGAGCGGGGAAGTCTCAGCCGTTGGACCAGTGCTTCGGAGATGATTGACACCTCGGATCCTTGATCGAGCATCGCTCGGACCGGATGAAGATCCCCGGCGCGGTCAGTGAGGTGCACGCGAGCTGTCGCGAGGAGGATCGCTTTACGCTCAGATGAGGAGTGCATCGCAGACAGGGCGTTCACCTCGTTGGAGGAGGGCGAAGTGTACGCGTCGTGCAGTGTAGTGTGGTGCTTGCTCTTGCACGTCAGACAGGTCTTCACAGACTGGCACTTGGAGATCATGTGGTTCCCGAGACAGTTGTAGCACAGTCTACCCTGCTCTACAAAGGACTTCCGGTCTATCGCGGACTTCGCCTTGAAGTCGTTACACTGCATGAGGGTGTGCTTCCCCTGGCACAGTGCGCACTTCAAGTGATCGGATCCGGTCTTCGTGTGGTGAGCTTTCGCGGTTCGCGACGCGCCATCGGAGTTTGGTTGCGATACTCGCGGCCTCGCGGCGTTTAGCGTGAGAATGCGCTTAGCGATGAAGTTGACGAGAGCGCCGTGGTCTGGCGGATCAGTGGAGTCGCAGGTCGAGGACTCCCATTCCATCCGTGTACGCGAATCGAACAATTCGACGGTGAGAAAATTGAGGAGATCCATACCGTGGGAGTTGATGGGTCTCCCTATACTCTCCTGCGCGTTCACCGCGGTCGTTACGGCGTTGTGAATGCGACCGAGTTCTCCCGCTGACTCGCACTTCATTTTGGGAACGGAGGTGAACGCGGCGAAATTAGAACGGATAAGCTCCCTCTTGTTCTCGAAGTGCTTGCACAAAATCGTCCAAGCGCGATGGTAATTATCACCGGTCACCGTTAATGATTTTATCAATTTTTCAGCGGCTCCCTTGACACAAGACCGGAGGTAGTGAAATCGCTCGATGTCGGAGACGGACTCATTCGCCCCGATGACTGATTGAAAGAGGTCGCGGAATGACGGCCATTCTTCGTAAGATCCCGCAAACGTCGGAAGCTTGATGCGCGGCAAGGAGGTTTTAGGAGCCCGATCGTGGTCCGGCTCGCCTCTGAGCGCGGCGGGCGTCTCGCCCTTAAGCTTCTCAGCGTAGCTGGTCAGCGTGCTACGTTGTGTCACGTAAGTATTCTCCGCGACTTCAATAAAATCAGATACAGCGTACTCACTCTCCTGATACTTGTCCTTCAGCGCCGCACGAATGAGCTCATGCTGGGTCTCCATTTTTTGCCAGACATTGTCCAGGATGCCGAGGCGAGCTTGGATGGCGTCGCGGGTGATGTTGCTCACGCCCATCTTCCTCAGATTGTCCACGGCGCGGGAGATCCGACCATGAATGTCGTGCTGCGCTTCCAGCAGCACCTTCACTTCAGCACTCATGTCTAATATCTCTTTTGTCTTTTCAGAGGTCACTTCACTCCACAAACTGCACGAGAGGATCACTCACGAAACAGCGGACGCGGATGATGGAAATCCGGCTCGAAGGACCAGAAATGTTCGCGAGCGGATCCGGCAAGAGATTGCGCGAACGTGGAGGATAGGCCAGTGCAGTGAAACTCGTGATATCCACACAAAACGACAGTTTATTAGAGTTCAACGTGACAAGTGTACAGTGCAACGAGCGGTGCGACAAGCGAAGCGGTTAAACCCGCGGGAGATCGCGAGCGGCGTGATAGATCGAGCGTGCGGAAAATCAAAGTCCGAGAAGAATAGCGGTTGACGTATAATATTTTGCGGTTTAACTGAGCGGTAAGATTAAGCGGTATAGAAAGCGAAAAGTGTGAGACTTCGGCGTGCCCTTTCGCTGGGCTCATTATATACCGGGCGGTTTTTGGGCCCCGTTGTGACGTGGCCCAATTAACTTTAAAGTTTGGCGGTGACCTCATGGCGCCGCGCATAATTGGCCGCCGATGAGGTCAGGAAATAGCGTTGTGACGTTTGCCATGCGCACGACCTTTTTCAATCAGCTGATTGGCCATCAGCTGATCGTGACGTATGGGCGCGCATGCCCGTATGTTGTTTTAGTTTTGACGGCGGTTGACAATATTATTGTCAATCGCTTAATTTCAAGCGTTTTTATGCGGTACAAAAACGAGCGGTGACTCGAACGTTCGAGTTTTTGTTTACCGAACGAAAGCTCGAGAAAGTTCTCGACGCCCGTTAGATTTGAAATACGGATTTTAGCAACGCGAAATTTTACATTGAGATAATCGATTACGCATTTCGAACATAAAAGAGTAATAAATACATAAAAATATATAAAAATATATCAAATTATATAAAAATATATTTATGGTTTGATAAAAATATATATATATGGAGACACGATAGTGTCTCGAATCGGATCAAATTCTTATTAGGCTTAATCGATAGTTTGGGTTTGAATTATATAATATGAGCAGCGGTAAATGTTTACTTTACGTCACACAGCTCGAAAAATTTTTATTTTCAGATATGTTGTAGAGGACACATTCCTAAGTAATACACCGTTTGAATTTTGTGGCGCTCTCTCTTCGTTCTTGCAATTTTGAAGTTTTATACTTAGTTGTATTATCTTTTCGTTATTTTCTAAATATATTTATATTTTTGTATTTACATTTCCTGAGGTCATCTTTCTGAATAACTTTCAGAAAGTTTTAGCTGCTTATTGTTATTTATTAAATAGTTATTAACAGAAAAAGATTCAAGAATAGAATATAATTTTATGATATCATGCATGTTTAAAGCGTCGTCTACAATAAGTGGAGTAAGCTTGGCGTAAGAAGTAAGAGTAGGAGTAACATTTTCGGCGTAAGCTGTTTACGCTAACTCAATCTACAATACAGTGGAGTAATCATAGACATAGTAAGTATAGACCGAGCATACATTATATAAGCGTTAAGCATACGAAAAGAAAGACAAAAGATGTAAGATGAGTTTCTTTCTCTTTTCAATGCCGGAGAACTGGGGAGCACTTCTCCACATCTTCTCGCGCCGGTTCGTCATGGGGGGGCGAGGAGATAAGGAGAAGTGCTCCCCACTTCTTCGGCATTAAAAAGAGAAAGAAACTCATCTTACATCTTTTGTCTTTCTTTTCGTATGCTTAACGCTTATACAATGGATGCTCGGTCTATACTTACTATGTCTATGCGTTAAACAATTATTAATAAAGCAATTACAATAGCAAAACACATTTGCAATTAACGACGTTTTCGAGCGATCTTTCGTTTTCATGTTCTAACCTTCCTGGGTTTTCTTCCTGCGTTCTGATTGATCGAGTGTAAGCGTAAGAGTAAGAGTAGGCGTAAGAAATAAAAATAATTCATTTTGCTTACGCCCTTACTCCAGCTCTCTTAAATCGGAAATAGCTCTTTTACTTCTACTCTTACTTCTTACGCCACACTTACTCCACCTTGTAGACGACGCTTAAGAAGAAATATAGGCACACACACATATACACACGCGCGCGCGCGCGCGCGCGGGAGGTGCAAGAGGGAGCCTTAGGCCCCCCTCCCGCAACCACCCCGCCGGTAGAGGACACATTGCAAAGAATTCAATTACAATGTATATGCTGTAAGTTGTAAAGCGAGGTCCACCTTGATTACCGGCAGATTGGTTGCAGGAGGGGGCCAAAGGTGTGTACACATATATTTATGATATTTTTAAATTGTATTAAATTCTTAGCGACATCAAGAAGTCACAACGAGCAAACGTAAACAAAAAAAATATAAACACACAACGAAAATATATCAAACCGTGTTGAGGAAATGTAAACAAAAAATGTGAACACATAAATAGGATATAACGAAAAAATGACATGAAAGTATGAAACTTCAAAATTGCATATCTCAGGAATGGAAAGAGAGCACCGCAAAATTCAAACGGTGTATTACTCAGGAATGTGTCCTCTACACATATGCGAAAATAAAAATTTTTCGAGCTGTGTGACGTAAAACATTTACCAAAGTATCTTTAGTTTTTTCTACATGTATTGTAAATGGAAGAAATGTGATGCAAAGTCTAAATGTGAAAATTTTCTCTTAAGAAACGTCATAGTCGTTCTCTCCGCCGTCGAAAAAATTTACAGTTGCCATTTTTAACACAAGATGGCGCTAGCAGCATTTCGATAATAGGGATCCTCAAATGAGGGATGAGACATCAAAGCTGCATAATGCGGATTGGTTGTCCGCATCATTAGTAGAATACTTCCGCTTTGAGTATAGTTTAGTAAAGAATGTATAATATATATCAAGTTATTTACATGCTTTTTAAAGTTTAGTTAAAAGTTTTTTGTTACATTTGTTGAAAAATTAAGAAAATGAATTAAATAAAAAATGTAAGTATATATATATTGTACTTAATAAATACATTTTTATAAAAATATTAAATGTAATTTATTAGATGTAATTTAAACATACTATTTAATAAAATAAAAATATATGTAACAGAATAGAACCTCAATTATAAATTCACAAATGAATTAAATTAATATTCATAAATATTAATGTTTTAGAAAATACGTTATTGTGAATATACAGGGTGTCCCACCTAGAAGTGGCTACCCCCTTTTATCTTTTAAACTAAAAGCGATTGACCATATAAACATATATGTGAAATTAAATGACTTTAACTGAACTTTATTGTGAGTATAGTGGTTGATTACAAAATTTATCTGTATTAAAGAATGGAGAGATATGTATAATTTTTTTATAATAATGTAAATATTTTGATATAATAAAAGTTGCAGCGCTGTTTGAAACGAATATAACGATGTATGATTAAATATTTTACATATTACATACGAGATTTTCCGGTTTGAAATATCGCAGGCGACGTCCACCATTTCATTTTCAACCCTGCGATATAGCCAACTTCTGATTGAGTATCATAATTAAATGACAACATGACATATGTCAACCTCTAATGCACAAGTCAGAAGTTGGCTATATCGCAGGGCCGAAAATGAAATGGTGGACGTCGCCCGCGATATTTCAAGCTGGAAAATCTCATATAATATGTAAAATATTTACATTAAATCATACATCGTTATATTCGTTTGAAACAGCGCAACAACTTTTATTATATTAAAATATCTACATTATTATAAAAAAATTATACATATCTCTCCGTTCTTTAATACAGATAAATTTTGTAATCAACCACTATACTCACAAAGTTCAGTTAAAGCCATTTAATTTCATATATATTTGTTATGGTCTATCTCTTTTAGTTTAAAAGATAAAAGGGGGTGGCCACTTCTAGGTGGGACACCCTGTGTATATATATATATATATATATATATATATATATATATATATATTATATACATATTTTCTATTCAATTATTTTGTTTTATTCAAAAATGGCGCGTAAGTAATGACACTTCCGCTATTCCATTAATGGCGGCTTTATCTCATCCTTCACTTGAAGATCCCTATTCCGAAAGGCTGATGGTAGAGAACGAGATGTTAGCGCTTACGTCTGTCGCAGTCATGGGCGTAAAGTAGAGAAAAATGTATATGCAACTTACGTATATGTTTTTCTCTATCTTACTTCTCTACCTGACAGACGTAAGCGCTTATGTCTCATTCTTTGCCAGCAGCCTAAATTATCGTAATAATTACATACATACACATATACATACATATTATTATATATGTACGTAATGATGTAAATGTGTGTATGGTGTGTGTCTGCGCGCACGTCATATATATATATATATATATATATATATATATATATATAATAAAAAAAGTGATATCCCTAAAAAACTAACCTTTTCAAAAAAGGTAAAAAAAAGGCCTTAAGTTCACACGAGCAAGAGGAAAACTATTGGGAAAAAAATTACCACCGCGGGTAGAGAGGCGCTCGTGTCGCATAACAAATATGGCTGTCGCAAAAGGCAATTTGACATTTAAGAATACTGTTTTAAAAACTGTTAAGAAAAAATATTGTCGTTTAGATACTTGTGTAGCTATATCAATGTTACACCCTCTTCAAGAAATATGATTGAAGACCAGAATGTAATAAATTCTGGCTTAATTATCATGTGCAGTAAAAAGTCGTGAAAACATTTATTTATTTTTCTTATATCTTCATTTTTTTGTTTATTCTAATACTTCTCAATGTATTATTCACTTTTATTTCATAGAAACACACTGATTGCCGTATCTAAACAATATTAAATCGCTCTTTACGACGGCCATATTTTTTAGTTTGCGTTTCGTCCACTAGTGTCGCATGGTAAATTTATATTCCCAATTATATTATCCATATTTATTTTAATATATCTTACAATAATTAATGATATAAAAAAAATGCGCTAACTGATAATAAAATCTTACATATTACTTTATTATAAAAATTTTATTTTTATTATAAAAATAATATCAAAAATCTACAAAAATATTTTACTAGAAAAAGTTATATAAAATAATTATTTTAATTTTTTATAAAAATAATATTAAAAAGTTGTACTAACTGAATAAAAATTTACAGTATAAATTTATAGATTTTTTTGTGTGGAGATACGTAAAAGTAAAAGTTTTCGCAACAAAACCAACAACTATTGACAATATGAAAATTCGTATCATAAACATATTCTCAGAAATTATTCCTGATGTATTGCAAAAAATCCAAGAAAGCTTTCGATTACGTTTAATGAAGTGTACCGCTGTTAATGGAAACTTGTTTGATCATTTGTGCTAATATTACAAACATTCATAGTGAGAGGCAAGGGTTCATGTTAATCAAGCACTCCGAATCGTGAGAAAAGGGGCAAAGGGGCTCATGTAAATCAAGCACTTCAAAGGGATGAAATTCCAATACGTCCACGTCGTTCATTCTGAGTAATGCTAAGCACGGGGAAATGCGTGTCAATCGGTCTGGAGATGGTGAACCATCAACAGAATCAGTCCAGATAATGGATAGGAAGAACACATTCAAAATACGCACACTGTATACCCAGATAGCACAGTGAATTCTAACAGTAATCTTTAAGTTTTCTCTTTTTTAAATTGTAATTCTTTAGGAATTCATAGATGAATACAATAAGAATGATTGTGGAAGTTACATGCACCATGATTGAATTCTTGAGAGAACTTCTTAAAGTATTCATATAGTATTCATGTAGTATTCATATAGTATTCATGTAGTATTCATATAGTATTTTTCCATTTCCATAAATGTAAACTTTATGAATTCAATGGGAATAGTATTTGGAACACTAAAAGAATATACTAAATCTAAAAAAATAATTGATTTCAATATTTGCAAGAAAATAATTATTTATATTAAGCCAAAATATATTTGAATCATTGAAATATACATGTATATTTTGCTGATTCAAATATATTTTTGCTTAATATAAATAAATACTTTCTTGCAAATATTGAAATCAATTATTTAAATAAATATTTTCTTAATTTAAATAAATATTTTCTTATAAATATTGAATCAATTATTTTTTTAGATTTAGTATATTTTTTCAAACATAAGGAATTTTGTAGGAAAAATTAATACACAATATTATTAATATTTAACTTCTTTTTAATATAACTTCTTATTTAAAATTAAATGTATGTGCATACAATATACAGGGTGTCCCATTTTAATCCATCCAGTCGAATATCTCGAAAACTAAGCTCGGGAGAGAAAAATGTTTCAGACAAAAGTTGTTTGGTTTCGAGGGAGCCATAAGATGGTACCATTGGTTTGACTTTGAAGAGTCATTTGAAGGTCACGTGAAGGTCACCTCAATCTTTTTAAATGGCACCTCCTATTTTTTATTACATATTCTTGTAGCTTATCTCGAAAGCTTTCCAAAACGCTATAATAAAATATTTTTTCATAGAGTACTTTTCGAGTTATGAGGCTTGAAATCATTTCTTAATTTTACATAAACCGTAATATATCTAATAAAATATTCATTTTTCGATTATCTTGCCTTAATACTTTTATGTACAAAATAATGAGAGAAATCAATTGGTATAAAAAAAAACACATAGTTGTTTCAAAGAAACATGTAATTGTTAATTGCAAATTATACATATTTTTTCTTAAAAATAACTATGTGTTTTCTTTACACCAATCGATTTCTCACATTATTTTGTGCATAAAAGTATTAAGGTAAAATAATCAAAAAATGAATATTTCACTAGATATTTTATGATTTATGTAGAATTAAGAAATTATTCAAGCCTCATAACTCGAAAAATACTCAACAAAAAAATATTTTATTATAGTGTTTTGGAAAGCTCTCGAGGTCAGCTACAAGAATATCTAATAAAAAATAGGGGGTGCCATTTAAAAAAATTGAGGTGACCTTTACGTGACCTTCAAATGATTCTTCAAGATCAAACCAATGGTTACCATCTTATGGCCCCTTCGAAACCAAACAACTTTTGTCTGAAACATTTTTCTCTCCTGGGTTTGATTTTCGAGATATTCGACTGGATGGATTAAAATGGAACACCCTGTATATTATATTTTTATATGCATATATAATTAAAAAAAGTAAATATATATGTAATATAATAAACAATTTATATTAAACGCTGTAATTTAATTAATACATATAAATACAACTTACTTTTATTTTCTATAGTAGTTGGTTATTCTTCAGTTTCGTCTAAAACTTTTTTTATTGTGATACGTGAGTGATTTTGATAAATCTGTAATAAAATATATGTATGAAATTATATAACATTATATTATACATTAGAAAGACTAAAGGAATAAGGCATTCTATAAAAGTAATATATACAAGTAATATATGAACACATAATAGAAGTTTGTATTCATATAATCAGAAATCGCATGTTGAAAGAACATGAACTACATGCAGACAAATATTTATCCAAATTTATCAATAGATAGAGATTTTGATTGACTCTGTTGGCAAACCAACTAAAACAGCTTGTTTACTGAATGAATAAACAACAAAAATAAAGACTGTATGCGTTTATTTCGAGGTTAGGTAGTAGGAATATATTTAGTTCAACTAATACTTACCATTCAATAACACCCAATTATTAATATAATTATGCGTGGCACTGTACTTTTGTCTGATATAATATATATAAATATATTACCACCTTATAAATATATTACCACTTTATTGCAAAATACATATATGTAGCACACTGCACACTGCACGAAATTACAAGATAAAGACCGAACCGAACACACACAGTCTCGCGCATGCGTGGAAAAATAATAAGTAATTCCTTATAAATTCTCAAAGTATTCATAGTACTGTCGCAAAGTATTCATTAAAATGAATTTATAAAGAATATTTCAAGACGAACTGATTATGAATAATTCTTCAAGAATTCTTCAGATATTCATTTTTCTAATTCTACAAGTATTCTTTAAAATGATTTCCCTATGAACTTATGTTCACCTTTATGCTATCTGGGATATATATATATATATATATATATATATATATATCAGATACGCATTTTATTATAGGTGACGCTTTGACTATATAAATATGGACTGCTAGTGGTAACTGATATCGCGAAATATTGAAAGTCAAGATGTATTGCGACATGAATGACCAAGTGGTGAATGTAGGAACTAATTCTTGTGAAGTGTGTACTTTGGTGTCACTTACAAAAATTCCACAGTGTATCATTTACATATTTTTTTAAGTTATTTTATTTAAAATGGTAATTTATTGTTTTGTAGAAGGATGTAAATCAACAAGATATAAGAAAAAACATGATAAAAATTATAACAAAGAAACATTTTATGGGTAAGAATTTGAAGATTCTGTTCTAACCTAAAATACATTATTTATTTTTTATTGTATAATTATAATATGAAACATTATTTCATCTTATAGTTTTAAAAAGATCAAAATTCATTTTTTCATTTATTTATAGATTTCCAACGAATCCAGATTTGAAGCAAAAATGGATCGAGGCATTGTTCAATTTGAACAAACAAGACGGTACACAGATACGTAAAACAAGCAAAATTTGTAAATTACATTTTGCAGAGGACTGTTTCGAACAATTTGGTTTTTGCCACGTCCACTTAAAACCAAATTCAATACCATCAAAATTTCCATGTATGCAAAATGATAGGTAATAATAGTTTTATTTTTATAAAACCATACAATCAATTATCATGTCTGTTTTAATGTCTGTGTTTGTAGTGTGGATAAATCAATAACATATGACAATTCATTGAAGGAAATAGTTGAATCGTTTAAAATTAATGTGATGAATAATAACGAAATAGCTAAACCTGAAGAAGTTGACAGCATTGATTCAACAATTCAAGTTGTTGAAGAAGTCATCAATTCAGTGACTCCAAAAAGAACGTTCATGGATCGGTAATAACATAATTTTCATTATATGATATTTTAGTTGTCGTTATACATATTAATTTTGCATTTCGTAGTTTGAAAACTGAAAATATGGAAAAGGATTTTCAAAATATTCCAGAATATATAAACAGAACTCCAACAAAAAAGATACGATATCCTGGTGATATAGGTGAAAATGCCATTCAGGATATGACGCCACATACAGCAATAAGATCTGTGAGGTTACTGAAGCAAGCCTGTGTGAAAAAAGATATTACAATAAAACGATTGCGGAATGAACAAAATCATCGGAAGAAAAAAATAGAATCTCTGCAGAAATTATTAACAGATCTGAAGCAACAATGTCTTCTTTCAGCAAATTCTTCTGATATTGTTGAGGTTTGGTCTTTAAAACTAAATAAATTTAAATTTTGAATATGATTAAGAACATATTCAAAATTTAAATTTATTTAATTTTAAAAGAAAATATTTTAAATTATGATATATTATACGAATCCGCGCGTGTTAAACGAATTCGTGTTATATAGAAATCTACTGTACTTTATTTCTTTATTATTAATAAGGAATTATAAATATTAAATCTAATTAGATTACATTATAATTAGATTTAATCTACCCAAACAGCACCGAGTCGACTATTAGTCGGCAAAAGGAGTCTAAAGTCGACTTCAAAATCAGACTAAATGTCAACTTATTGTCGACTTTTAGTCGACAAATGACCCGAAAATAGTCGACTAAAAGTCAGTATATACAGTCGACTTTAAGTCGACTTTATGGCGACTATTAGTGCGTTCGAAAATATGTTTGGTCAGTGTTGGGAAAAACGATAAAGTTGGCAGTATTGAAAACTTCCAGTACTGCGTTTCGTTTCTCCCACTGGGATCATTAGGATTGTATTGTACCACATGTACAATATATGAAAGTGTTGCAATTACATTAATTATTATTATGGAACAATATATTTTATTCGAAAACATCATTTTTGAATTTTCGAGTAGTTCTTCTTCAGATAGTGATGATAATAATGAAGAATTACAAAATATTTTATTCGAAAATGAAGGTAATAACAATAGAGTGAAAGGAAAATAGTACCAAAAATAACAGATTATTTGGAAAATGTTGTTACCAGATATACAAATATTGAATTTAAATCACATTTTAAGTCAATCATGTCACTTTATTATAATTAAAGCATTATTAATATAAAACACACGTTCGTATTAATAATAATATATATGATGTTATTTGTTACAGGATGGAGCGTAATACTTTTTATTTTTTATTACATTTAATTGGACCCAAATTAGAAAATTTTCTATTCATAGGAAGAGAACAAATTAATCCAACAAAACAGCTATTAATAGCTATTTATGTTTTGGCAACACCAGATAATAAAAAGTATTACACATCCTGTAACAAATAACATCACATATATTATTATTAATATGAACGTGTGTTTTATATTAATAACCCTAACAGTACACATATTCGAAAGATGTTCAGAGAACATCCAGAGAACATCCAGAGAATATCTGAATATCCTGTGGATGTTCTCTGAACATCTTTCGAACATGTGTGCTGTTAGGGAATGCTTTAATTATAATAAAGTGACATGATTTACTTAAAATGTGATTTAAATTCAATATTTGTATATCTGGTAACAACATTTTCCAAATAATCTGTTATTTTTGGTACTATTTTCCTTCTATCTCTATTGTTATTACCTCTATTTTCGAATAAAATATTTTGTAATTCTTCATTATTATCATCACTATCTGAAGAAGAACTACTCGAAGATTCAAAAATGATGTTTTCGAGTAAAATATATTGTTCCATAATATTAATTAGTGTAATTGCAACACTTTCATATATTGTACATACGGTACAATACAATCCTAATGATCCTAGTGGGAGAAACGAAACGCAGCACTGAGAGTTTTCAATACTGCCAACTTTATCTTTTTTCCCAACACCGACCAAACATATTTTCGAACGCACTATATAAGTCGACATTGTTTTTGAGGTTATGGCGACTAGGTCGACTTTTAGTCGGCAATAAGTCGACTTGTAATCAATTTGAAATCATCTATACATTTACTACCAAATTTTTATTCTCATAATGACATTTATCAAAAACTTAATTTTATATTTTAAATATATAATATACATTATACATTGAAAGTAATAAAATTAAATTTTTGACAAATGTCATTATGAAAATAAAAATTTGGTAGTAAATGTACAAATGTAAGTGGATATAATAAAATAGTGAAAGAGAGAACAAGAGTTATTCGTTTATAGTATTTAATGTTATTTAGAAAAAATATAAATGTTTTATGTTACATCTTAATATATATTACATAAAATATATAGTTTCGAAATAAAATTCAACGTAACATCAGGTACATATACGTACATACATCTAAATTATATACTTTAATTATGAAAAGTAATACATATATGTTTAAAACATGTTTTCTTATTTTAAACATGCTTTTTAACACAGTTTTAAACATTTTGAAAAATATTTTATAAGACATGAACGCCAATTGTACATAGACCTAGAAGATATGTTCTAAAGACAGAAGTTATTTAACAAAAAATTTTGTTTTACTATATATATATATATATATATATATATATATATATATATATATATATATGAAAAGATTATATATATAATCTTTTTATATATTTTTGCCTTCCATATTATTGGCAGTTTTGCATGACAGAAATTTTTATTAAATATAATAATTACATATGATAAAACATAATAACGCTTTGCAAGTAAATAATGCAGTAAGAATTTTTGAAATACATGAAGATTATATATTCAGTTTTAAATAACAATATTTAATCATTACTACATAAAGATAATTATAAATATAATAGCACTTGTATTTAAACGACTGTTTTTATTACACAAAGTACTTCTCTATTTAATGATTTTTAATAATAATATTTTACAGTATAACTAATATTTCTAATAACATATTACTATTTGCATTCAAAACAGTTTATCCATCGTATGGATTACTTTGTCTCTAGAACATATCTACGTAGCGTTTTCTCTAACAATAAATAATATTATTAGTCTCATTATCTCGCATAAATACTTCCACTTATAACAGAGCTTACTTGGATGTACGTCAAAGAGATCTAATTATGTATAAATATATGTTTCTGAGCAATGTTGAATGAGAAAAAATAGAATTTTAAAGACCGAAGAATAAAATATCAGAGAATATTCCTGCTTTGTAGGATATATATAAATAGAATATATATTGTTTTCAAATTATTTTTTTTTAGAAAATAATAGTCATATATGCTTGTTAGAATTATAACAAGCATATATAATTATATTTAAATAAATTGCACATAACAGATTTTTTGGATGTGGAAAGTATACAAGAATTAGGTACTTATTACAATCACAAAATCGTCATACTGGTTATATCTCCTTTCGAGTTAATACAACTGCTAATGTTACACAGTTCTCTTTAAATTATATGTACTTGATATGTCATGTCTAGGAGTCATGAAAAAAGTATTGCAGTTATGGATAAGTAGCAAACTTATAATAGACTTGGAAAAATTAATTGCAATGTACAAAGTAGGTACCGAAGGAGTTTGATCTGAAAATCACATTCTCTGGATGAATTGAGACGTTGGAAAACAACAGAATTGCGAGAATTTTTACTCTACCTTGGACTCTACCTTACTTTTATTGTTTCCAAGTCCAGTTTCGAAGATTAACTTTGGTCGTTGACCAATGCAGACTCTATCCTCTCTCGAGAACAGCCCCAGCACCCATTGATTGAAGCTCGATCAAGAGCGAATCAACGCGGACTCTGTTCTCGGAAGAAGACAGTCCCAGTACCCATTGATCGAAGATTAACCTTGGTCGTCGATCAATGCGGACTCTATCCTCTTTCGAGAACAGTCCCAGCACCCATTGATTGAAGCTTGATCAAGAGCGTCAATCAACGCAGACTCTGTTCTCGAAAGAAGACAGTCCCAGCACTCATGGATCGAAGATTAAGTTTTATTCAGTACAAAATATCAATGTTTTATGTTATATAATAATACTATATAAAATTAATAGTTTCCAAAGAAAATGACAAATTTAACATATCAGGTACATACAATATATTTACTTGTTTAAGCCTCTCTTTCTGTCGCCGGATCGTCTCAACCACTCTTGAATACATCCTTCCACTTCAGTAATTGTAGTAGTATCCTTTTTCTTCAAAATAATTGCTACAAACATAATAAACATTTCATGTTAAAATACATGTTAACATGAAGTAGTTCTAGAAAAATTCTCATCTGAATTGTATTTAATGTTAAAAAAAAGTTTGTTTAAATACAGTTCAGTGCAACTACAAAGAATGAAGAAAAATGTTAAAATTATATACCAATTATTGTGTCAGCCAGTTTCGATGTTTTGAATGATAATCTTTTTTTTTGGCCTGTCCACGTGTACGCTGCCGCAACTTCATATCCGATAGTTTCCAACATTATATTTTTTACAAGTTTGGCTACGGTATCCCCGCCAAACTGCGCCATTTTTTTCATCTGTAATAAATAAAAACAATATTTTTATATATTTTTATATATTATATAATACATTTATTATTTTATTGCACAATTTCTTCAATTTATTTTTTTTCTAAATATTAACATTAGCTTACTGTTATCATAGGCTTTAATTTGTATAATTACAATTAATTAATGTGACAAGATACTTACAAATTGTCGCCGAACATTAATATCTTCCAATCTTTTATTGAACATTTCTGTTTGTTCAACTGTAGTGAGAGGAAAATTTGGTAACAACGACACATCGTCTTGTTCTATTTCATTCCGTTGTACATTATTTTCATTTTCTAGAAAATGAATGATCCGATTGAGTTTCCGTTCAATTGTCACAAATTTGACCAAGTAATTTTTGCGGCATTTTTCTATACAACAAAAGAAATATTTAAAAGTAAATAATTAAAAATTAACCTGCAAAAATGCAACTGAAATTTATGTTATTTAATATATTATATTGTGATTTTACATATATCGTTACATATATCAAACTGCGCGCCGAACAAATATTTTGTCTTGATACAGTTGTCTTGATAGGTCTTGATACAGTTGTCTTGATAGGTTGAAAACAAGAAGAATAGTACCAAGAGATTAAATTGATGATTAGATAATAATGATAACAACTATCTAATAAAACCCCTCTTATTTAAAATATTGCAAGTGAAGAATTTTGTTTCAAAAAATAACACCTCCAGTTAAAATCGTGATAATATCGCGATATTGTTCTCATTCTAGTTATAGCTTTTCGAGGATCTCAAATTTATTCGATGTGCAGTTTGATCTTGAAGATGTATATAAAATTGCATAATAAGATATTAGCGCCGAGATCCAGCTATAACCAATTGCCTTTTATATTTTACTAAGTGTGTAAAATTACTACATTCAATTATTGAATGACATTCATTATTCAATTACTGAATATACAGGGTGTATCAGAGCGACCGTAACAGCAGTTTTTTGAGGAACCTAAGCATTTGAGAGAAAAATGTTTCGTACAAAAGTTGTAGGGCTTAAAATAATCTGTTTAACGATCGTATCAGTTTGACTTTGAATAGCACCGTCAAGGTCGCATAAAAAATACTTTGAATTTTTTAAATGGAAACCCCCATTTTTTATTGCATATTCTTGTAGCTTACCTCGAGAGCTTTTCAAAACACTATAATAAAATATTTTTCTCCTAAGTACTTTTCGAGTTATGAGACTTGAAATCACTTCTTAATTTTACATAAACATAATTGATTCGAAAAAAAAATGTAATTCGCAATTAATTAAATTTTTTTTCGAAACAATTATGTGTTTTCTTTACACCAATTGATTCCTCTCATTATTTTGTACATAAAAATATTAAAGTAAAATAATCGAAAAATTAATATTTTACAAGATATTTTACGGTTTATGTAAAATTAAGAAGTGATTTCAAGTCTCATAACTCGAAAAGTACTTAGGAGAAAAATATTTTATTATAGTGTTTTGAAAAGCTCTCGAGGTAAGCTACAAGAATATGCAATAAAAAATGGGGATTTCCATTTAAAAAATTCAAAGTATTTTTTATGCGACCTTGACGGTGCTATTCAAAGTCAAACTGATACGATCGTTAAATAGATTATTTTAAGCCCTACAACTTTTGTACGAAACATTTTTCTCTCAAATGTTTAGGTTCCTCAAAAAACTGCTGTTACGGTCGCTCTGATACACCCTGTATAATAATTACATATAATAGTACAAAATGAAATAAAACTTACCACAACAAAATGAATGCTCCAATGTCATTGAATTATTTTCAATATTTTCTTTATTTTGTATTATATTTAATACATTAGTGTCATCATTGCTCGTGGAAGGAAGAATAGAATTATTTCCAACGTTTTCTTTGTTTTGTATCATATTTAATACATTAGTGCCATCATTGCTCGTGGAAGGACGAATAATCAGTTGTGATACAATTGTTGGTCGAGCTGTTATGTTCCCTGTAATTGAAAGAAATATATCGTTTACTTTATTGGCATTGCAGTGATACAAATGGAACATTATAGATAAATTATCGGATAAATTTGTGTAGAGCTTTATTTTGGCAATAAAACAAAAGAGAAGAATGAAAAGAGAAATCATTACTACAATTACAATTATTACATTACAATTAATAAATACTTAACAAAAATAGCAGAATAGGAAATAGTTCTATTATGGACTAAAGGGAGGTTTGATAAGGAAAAAAGAAAAAAGATGGAGAATCAAGATAATCTAAGGAGAAATTTATAAAGAAAGCCAAATATTGATAAGCAAAACTAAAGATCAAAGATGGTCAATTTAAAATAATAGCTACGAGAAAGGAGGATGTTGGACGTATGTGGAAGTACATGGAAGTACATTAATAAATATAGGAAAAAGAAATAATAGATGAAAATATTCCTATAAACTGTTGAAAGTAGTTTCATAGAATTATCAAGAAAAACAAGAAAGAGGCATATATTAAATCTGAAGAAAGGAAAAGAGGATTTTTCATTAAGATACAAGAGCAGCAAGAGATACGGAGGGAAGAATAGGATATTTAATAAGATTGATGACATAATAATTTGAAACCTACCTTTTACAACTTTTCGACTTTCTTGCTTCTCGTGTGTCATTTTTTGCATTTCTGAAAAGCAAGAGAAATATAAGATTTTTATTTAAATTGTTCGTATTTTTACTCAATAAAGAAAAAAATAAATGATAATAAGATATATAACAATTTATTTACGACAGTATTTATGTTTGCATATACAAAATTATTTTGATTTTTTTTTTTAAACAAAACAAATCTTTATTCGTACAAAAATATATTCCGTATTCAATGTATAAATATCAATGTACCTGTGTCACTACATGACGACTCATCTTCGTATGAATCTAATGAGTTTACGTCTACAAAATTAGTTTCCAATATTTCATCACTGATCTCAGGTTCATTATTATGATCTCGCGTTTCTAAGTTGACTGTCGTATTGATAGGTCTATGTATAATTGATTGCCGCTCATGTCTTGCAAAAGCTTCAAGGCGCCGATTCTTTTGGCGTAAAGATAATTCTCGGAATCTTTTAGGCATCTGTTAATAATGAATATTATTACATAATAACGCAAATATTTATTTATTATTTTATTAATTATTGCAATATTATACAAGGTGGATTATTTTAAACTTTTCACTGAAATACTTCTTTTTTTACACAAAATTTTTCACATAAAAGCTACAAGATATGAGCAATAGACGAATAAATGGTAAAATCCGGTTTTGGAAAAAACAGTATCTTCCAATATAATATAAAAATCATAGCCTGCTTTCTTAAAAATAGAATTGTTCTTAAAAACAGAATCAATTTTTTCAAATATGTGATTCCTGTAATCACATATTTGAAAAAATTGATTCTGTAACACACATATTCTGGTAAAGTGTTATATCATAAAAGTATTACACCAAGTTTATAAAAAAAAGTAAATATTTGCTTGCAATAAAGTACTGACACATTTTCTATACATAAAAAAAATAAAGAATGAAATAAAAAAATAGTTTGCAAGAAATTTTATATTTTACGTCGAAAAGTTCAATCACATATTGTAAAAACTAGAATACAATATTTAACAACTCAACAAATAATTTCTTTTTATTAATATAAAAATTATGACAATATTTTTTTAGCCACACCCCAATCGACACTGATCAATATAACAATATGTGTTATATTTACATTACTGAGTGCAAAATTTTATAATGTTACTGTCATATATATATATATATATATATATATATATATATATATATAGTGTATTTATATTATATATATTACATATAAATTGTTACATATACTTGCATTAATTATAATTCTTAAAAATAGGAAATATATATTATTTACGTGTGTGTGCGTGTGTGTGCGTGTGCGTGCGTGCGTGCGTGTGCGTGTGCGTGTGTGTGTGTGTGTGTGTGTACACATATGCATATATACATATATACATATAATTCCTATTTTTAAGAATAACATTTGTAAATAGTATCTATTAAGCTCATTTTGCAGCTATGAAATATGTATTTTCAGGCCAGTATTCACAGTCGATTCTTATATTTAATACCGTCTTAAGTACTATCTAAAGATGTCATTAACCAATCTGATATAATAACTATATTAACATCTTAAAATATTTAAGATAGTCTTGAAATAAGAATCAACTATGAATATTAGATTATTTCTTTTTTATTTCATGTTGCATAAACTTTTAAATGAATAAATTTTTTGAATTATTGCATATTTAATAAAAGGGAATTTTTATGTATATGTATGATGTTTCTTTTTATGATGAAATATCTATGGTTATCAAAAATGTAAATATTAAACTAAAATAATTATTCATTTACAAAAACGTGAAATATACAAAATAGAACAAATGGACAATCGACTTACCAAATAAAGAATTTATTCGACCGACAGTGTGAAAACACAATATAAATGAAGTGCCTTAACGGTCATAGCTAGATATAAGGGAAGTCTCTGATTACCGATTTTAATAACATTTTATGGGTGTTATACCTGACAATCTCTAATTAACGATTTTAATAACATTTTATGGGTGTGTAGTATTCACTCAAACATTTGTTACAGTAAAGCAAATATATTTTTTGTATTCATAAAAAATTTTAATTTAATTATTAACAGAAGAACATCTTTAAATTCCGTGATTTTTAAAAAAATAACATTTTATATTAAATAATTAAAAATGATTAAAAAATTGTATATAACAATTTAAAAATATAAGATTTAAATGAAACAAAATGTCTTCGAGGACAGAACCTGGAACTCCGAACATAACAATCAACGTTTTAACGCTACATCATTGATTCAACAATCACTTTTCCATAACGGTACTATATAGGTGCTGGAAATCTTCATTTTCTCGAGAATGCCTGAATAATGGCACCTGGAGTTTTACTGCTTAATAAAATGTTTTAGTGAATACTATCAAATCCATTAAATTGTATTAAAATTTTAATAAAATCGGCAATTAGCTACTGCAGGATTCTCCTTGATAATGTAATATTTATTGTGTGATTTTATATATATCTTTTCAAGTTCATTAAACTGTGCACCGAATAGATTTTTCTCCTGGCTGAGGTATTATTTTTTGCAATAATTTCTTTACAGTTTTTTTTAGGGGGGAGGATGGGTTTTCACATTTCGATGCAAGTTAGCATCATTAATTATTAAATTGATTTTCAAATAAATAAAGTGATATTACTATTAATTCAACTTGGAGCTGTTATGATTAAAAACATATTTGGCGTGCAGTTTAGTGAACTCTTAAAAAGGTATATACAATCACACAATAAATATCAACACTAAGACCTAGCAATGACCGTTACAGCACTTTGTTATTTATATTGTGTTTTCAAATTATTTAAATAAAAAATTAGAAATGTAAATTACCTTGATTATGTATCGTACGTGCTGCTTCGCTCAATAGTCAATAATCAAATTCGCCGGCGCTTCGTCTTTCGTACTGCTTCATGCAGATATTTTGTTTCGGCTAACAATAAGACTGCAGAATTAGCACCGCCTCTATTGCACAAGATAAGCTGAAAATAAAAATACTGTTACTAATTACAGATACACGGAAACTCAATAGAGAAGAAAGAGGACGATTCTAACCTCACTTGTACATAATTGTACATATCACGAATTATTACATATAAAATTTACATATGTATATACAATATATCTCTGATATCCTTTAATATTTTATGCTATAATATTAATTATGAAAGAAGGACATTACCTTGATAAATATTGCACAGTTGGAACAAAAAGCACGCGGGAGGCACAATGGGCACACACACACAGAGACGATCGAAAGGATGAAATCGCGGCGATCGCATGTCACGCGCGCACTACGCGCCAACTTTTGACTTTCGAAGTCGACATTTAGCCGACTATTTCTAGTATAATTTTTGTCGACTTTAAATTGTTGACTTAAAATCGACAATTTAAAGTCGACAAAAATCATCCTGGAAATAGTTAGCTAAATGTCGACTTTAACAGCTGACTTTAAGTCGACTGAAAAAAGTCGACTATTAGTCGACAAACAGTCATTTGTGCTGTGTGGGTAATTAGATTTAATATTTAATTCCTTATTAATAATCTAAGAAATAAAGTACAGTAGATTCCTATATACCACGGGAATATTTGTATAATATAATAATAAAAATAAATAATTAAAATATTTATAATTATAAATATTTCATCTAATTGTTAATACTTAAAAATAAAATTAAAATATGAAACTAAGATTATTTCTCTGAAAGAGCATGATAATTTTGTAAGACATATTTGTACAAAAATCGTTCTGTTCAAGGATCAGGATAAATTATATGAATAAATACTCGAAAGTGTATTTTATTTTTACCTTTGAGTCAGATTTCTACATTAAATATAACCTATGTTTAAATTCCCGCTTTTTGGTCATGAGGGGGCGGAGCTAGAGAACCTCTAGGAGAGAGAATGGACAACTGATCAAGCTTTTTCATGATTGGCTGGCAGAAAATGTATCAATTTTAGCTATTGCGACGCCAATGCAAAATATGATGACACACAAATAGGACACACATGACACACATATAGGGTGCTTTCCAATTGAGATATCCCTAGACACTTTTATGCACACGGCGACACAAGTCGCGTTCCAATTGCCGTAACTGCCGACACAACTTTACACATCCGTACTCAGCTCGAGGGCTACTAGTCAACTTGTGTAACCTTCTGTTTTCTAGGGACAAATGAAATATGCGGTTACAGACTGACGGCGATTATGTTGGCAATTTTCTTTTCGTTTTATCCTTTTTAATTAAAAGACAACCATTAAAGTACACCATACAAATACAAAAATGGACAATAAAAATATTAAAAGTATCATTGAAGTAAGTAATTCAAATTAATGAGTTTTTGTACAATTAATTTTTTTATTATATTTAATAAATAAAATAAAATTGTCTCTTTTGCATATTTGCAGGTTAGATATATTACTGATTAAATTTTCATTCATATTTATATATTAATATAATATGCATTTATATATTTTATTTATATATTATTTATATATTATATAATATTATGCATATATATACATCTATGTATGTTAATAACTTTGCTTCGAATTATTTACAGACTAATTACACAAATTTTACGTGTGCAACATGTTTTTCCCTTTTACCAAATGGAGAAGAATTGTATGAACATATTTGCTTTAAGGAAAAAACTATTTATTCGAATGAGGGCGTTATTTATTGTTTGAGTGATGATCAAGAAACTTTCATCGAATTTGATGCCTGTCTACACGCAATGGTCAATCCATTTTATATATCGATGCTATCACCCTCAGCATGGATTAAAAAATATCAAGATGGACATGGTTATGAAGAATCCTAACTCTCCACTCGAAAGTCGCACATTAACTTTGTTCCAATTGAGTCGTGCACATCGCTACACTTTGTGCCTTCCTGTGTATGTTTGTGTTAAGATGTGTTAAACAATTGGAAAGCACCCATATTAATCTATTTGTGTGTCATCATATTTTGCATTGGCGTCGCAATAGCTAAAATTGATACATTTTCTGCCAGCCAATCATGAAAAAGCTTGATCACATGTCACATGATCAGTTGTCCATTCTCTCTCCTAGAGGTCTAGGCGGAGCCTAAATCTCGATATATCGAATTAATGTTAGATTCTCTTTTTAGCATTGTTTTGGGGACGACTAGCAGTTCATTTATATAGTTAAAGAGGTGACATATAAGTCTCTCATATAGTGCGTTCGAAAATATGTTTGGTCGGTGTTGGGAAAAAAGATAAAGTTGGCAGTATTGAAAACTCCCAGTGCTGCGTTTTGTTTCTCCCACTGGGATCACTAGGATTAAAAAAATTGCTACTTGAGATTATTTATCTTTTTTCCCAATACCAATCAAACATATTTTCGAACGCACTATTAGTTTCATGTTAGTTAGTGCTTGTAATTATTGGATGGAGGATAGTGAGAAAAAAAAATTTCTGCTAAATCTAGGGATCGCCGGACGTGACAATTATATACACATAGGGTGCTTTCTCTCATCTTAAAGACGTCTAGATGTCTTTAAGTCGTCTTTTTAGCGAATATAAAAGTTTGGTTATCTTCTATCACGCAATATCACGCAATACCATTCTTTAAAAAATTAATGATACCAAATATGAAATGTTATGTTGGCACTCACTGAGGTGCTACAAAACGACGACACAGGCGAACACAGCATTTTTGCTGTGTACGATTGTGTCGACTTGTGTCGTAGTTGGAAAGCACCTGTATCGACACTGTAGCGACACAGTGTCGCCTGTGTTGCTTGCTGGAAAGCACCCATAATTTTGTTTTAAATAGTATAGTATATATTTACATTTCTTTCTTTCCTTCTATATAAATTTGCATTTAAAATTTTAAACTTAATTTCAGTAGAGCAACGATTTCCTTTCTCAGATTTTTATATAAACATAGAAACAAAGACAACAATAAAAGAGACAACAATATCCTTCGCAACTTTCGAATAAGACTTTTTGTACCATATGTGTGTATTAAGGAAATCATACGTGTCTTAAATTAGCATTTCTAATAATTAGTATGTCTATTAGCGTATAACTATATTAATATTTTTGTAAAATGCCGAGACGCAAAAAACAGCGTACTTTAGAAGAAGAAGAGGAATTTCAGTGACGACGTGAAAGAAAGGCAGAGAGTCATCATCGTCATCATCAAATTGCCAAAGTAATAAATAATAATTTTGTAGAATCTTGGAATAGTTTCCTATTAAACATTTTTTTTTCAAATTCTACAAAAAATATATGGCGATCGTACCAAAAGCACATCATATTTAAAAAAAATAAAAAAGAATACTTTATTTTTTAAAAGTATCGTCTACCCATTGCTTCCAAAAAAATACTGTCTAATAGAAAACTATTCCAAGATTTTACAAACATTTTTTCGTAATTGTACTAGAAAAATATCAAGACTAAAAAAAGCAAGAACTTTTATTAATTTTTTAATCAATGTTTTTGTCATCAGAAACCTTTCCCATATTTTCCACAAATGTGTCTCAATGATATCTACAACATATTAAAATTTCATCAAAATCGGTTAAGCAGATCAAAAGATACGAATTATTTTCGAAATTTTTATTTTTATTCTTTATATCAAAACGGTTCAATATTAAGGACTAATATTTGCTTAAATTATAAGTCACTGATAGCAATCAAAGCAAAAAAAAATCAGCATAATCCGTGTAAGGACAGATTAGTCCTTCTTATCCAGCTACAGCCTTTATTACATTGGTCAAACGCAAAAGTCATTATAATTGTGTAGGACGAATGTGTTCCATTAGTTCAACAGAATTGTTTCATTTATGATTATTATTACTTACTGTAAAGGGAGCTACAAATTTTAATGATTTAAAAATTGTAAATGAAGAAGTATGTCAATCATTTTCAGCGGCATGTTTAGCTTTAGGTTTAATTGAAGATAATGAATAGAGACGAGCTGTGAACGAAGCTGTTGGCTGGATGATGCCAAGACAACTTCATAGATTATTTGTACGTATATTGTTATATTGTTAGCCATTGCATCCTAAAGAACTTGGGGAAAATTTTAAAATAGTAATGTCCGAAGATTATATTCGACACTTTGGAATCTTAGAAGGAAAACATAAGAAACAAAAGAAAACATATGCACAAATTAATGCTATGCTTTGTGCTGAAAGTAAAAGTTTTGCCGATTTTCCACAAATGGAACAATTGATAGAAAATGATTATATATCACTTGAAGAAGTTTGTATCAGATGATATAAACAATTATATATATATATATATATATATATATATATATATATATATATATACGTATAAGACATATATATATGTATAAGACAATGATGTAGAAGTGTGAAATAGATTTCTAAGTTTTTAAATAATCTTTGTGATTAATCTTCGTCTGCATCACGGAACTGTGGAAAGCGTTCCCTCATTATTTGCTGCTGTATACGTCGAACACGAGGACCTTGTCTGGCAAGTACGTCTCTTTCATGCCTATTATTATCATTATTGGCAATAATTTGATATTCTCTCTCCGCTTCGTCATAATCAAAATTAAATATAGGAAGACGGTAATGAATTCACATGTTGTGCAAAACTGCACATGCGTTTACTATCCGTCCAGCAAAAGCTAGTTCATACATCAAAACTCGTTGATACGACGGACATCTCCACACAACCTCGAAAACTTCGAAAAAACGTTCTACATTTCTTGCTTTAAATAACTGTTGAAATTACAACATAAGATTAACGTGTTCCTTCTGAATAATGTAGTAATGGCGTCATGAGTCATGGCTCCAAAGGATATCCAGCATCACCTATAATAACATTAATATTATCTCATAATAACTAAACATACGTACGCATGAAACAATAAAAAAATTCTTAGAATGATAAATTCAAATTTACCAATAAGCCAAGTACAACGTTCACTCCTATTATAGTGATATTCCATAGCGCGACGTATTGAGAAAGCGCTCCATATAAAAGCATCATTTCTGGATCCGAGATAATGTGCATTAATATTTAATATTTTCATATCTGGATCTACTATTTAAAATCATATAGAAATAAGTTTATTCTTATATAAATTATTTAAAAAGCTCAAACTAAATATTAATATATTAAGTTACTAACAGCTTGTACATTTAATGAATGCATCCCATGGTGGTTGACAAATGCTTCCTCGTGTATTTTAGGACCTAAAATATTCACAAATGTGCAATCGATTGCCCCAATTGCTCCTTCAAATAGCTGTTATGCATTTATAAATTTTTCACGGACTTTCTGACGTTCTTCTAGTATCAAGTTCCTGTTGGTCTCTGATAATTGCTATGTGCATAAAATTGTATTGTTGCTAAAACCTAAATTAAAAGTAAATATATATAGTTTCTTTCAAAATAATTTAAATCTATTTTTTGTTTAAAGATAAACACAGATAAACACAGATATATACAGGGTGACCCATTTTAACTTAGGCAGCCAAATAACTCGAAAAATAAGCACACTACGAAAAAATGGTTAGAATCAAAATTTCGTCATTTCGAGGGGGACGTACAATGACGTTAAAATCAGCCCCCCCACCCCTCCTCCTGGGCGGTGAGGGGGGGCAAGTTTGAAATCTTAAATGGAACCCCCTATTTTTCATTGCATATTCTTGTAGCTTATCTCGAGAGCTTTCCAAAACACTATAATTAAGTACCTTTTTATTAAGTACTTTTTGAGTTATAAGGCTTAAAATAATTTCTTAATTTTACATAAACCATAAAATATCTAGTAAACCATTCATTTTTCGATTATCTTACCTTCATACTTTTATGTACAAAATAATGAGAGGAATCAATTGGTGTAAAGAAAACACATAGTTGTTTCTAAGAAAAAATATGTAATTTGCAATTAACAATTCCATATTTTTTCTTAAAAACAACTGTATGTTTTCTTTACACCAATTGATTCCTCTCATTATTTTGTACATAAAAGTATCAAGGTAAGATAATCGAAAAATGAATGGTTTACTAGATATTTTATGGTTTATGTAAAATTAAGAAATTATTTTAAGCCTTATAACTCAAAAAGTACTTAATAAAAAGGTACTTAATTATAGTGTTTTGGAAAGCTCTCGAGATAAGCTACAAGAATATGCAATGAAAAATAGGGGGTTCCATTTAAGATTTCAAACTTGCCCCCCCTCACCGCCCAGGGGGGGGGGTGGGGGGGGCTGATTTTAACGCCATTGTACGTCCCCCTCAAAATGACGAAATTTTGATTGTAACCATTTTTTCGTAGTGTGCTTATTTTTCGAGTTATTTGGCTGCCTAAGTTAAAATGGGTCACCCTGTATATATATATATATATATATATATATATATATATATATATATATCTGTGTTTATCTGTGTTTATCTTTAAACAAAAAATAGATTTAAATTATTTTTATATATATATATATATATATATATATATATATATAAAACTGGTAACATAATAGCTACAATTTTTTTAAACAGCTGTGTATAAAGAAAATATTGTTCAAATGGCATTACTTTTATTTCAGGCGCAATTGCAGTTAAACGCTGCTGTTGCAAGTATGGTCGTAATAAATTAATCAGATCCATTGCCAAATCAGGACTAATTCGAAAGCACTTTATAAATTCATTACGTGGAAAATTAAATGGATTTAATGTATCTCTTAATATTATTCATTCCAAACGCCTTTCTTGATGATGTATTCGTTCTTGTAAAATCATTAATTCCCAAGCCAGAAATCCTACTGCCATAAAGCTGATGTCTTTGAATTAAAAAGTAAGAATTGGATAAAACTTCTGTAAATGTAAAATTATCATTAAATAAACATAACATACTCTCAAATAAACTTTGCTAAATGCGTGTAAAAAATGTCACTTTTAACATATTACTCTATAAATATACATATACGTTCTAAAGTGATAGGATTTATCACCTAATTCGGAAAATTAGTTTTTTATAGGAAAATCGAGATTTTACTAAATATTTATCGATTACAAAATACTTACCAATTACAAAATATTTTGTAATATTAACGTATGTAAATAAAATAAAATTAAGATGTCCTAAAAATTCAGAACGGTTGATCAGAAAACTAATAACAAATAGAACATCACTTTAATTTTGAGTCCGCTCATCACTAACGACAGACATTATGCGTTAACGAGGGATCCCGGACCCTCTTGTATTATTAATCGAAACCGTTGAATGTCATTGAATTAACGATTATTTTAACGAGAAAAGTTGTTAATTTGTGGATTTTACAGAATACCTTTTTTCGTTATGGCCACGCTTCGATAAATTAACGATACGACATCTATCGTTAACTGCATTTAACGAGTTACTGAAATGGCCAGCTGGCTGTTCTTAGATTTCTCTCTGATACAAGGAACAAAAAAATTGAAGGATCTCGTCAGAGAAATTCTTCGTTGAGTTGACATTTCTTAAGTTCTCAAACGATTTGCAGATCATCCGCGTGGTTAAAACAATGGCGGGTTCGGCTCTCAGACGACTGATGGCAGAGTACAAACGTGAGACTTTTTAGTCATTTAGCATATTGCAGTAACATTATTTCATACATTAATGATATTATATGAGAAGTTTCCCTTTTGTTATGACATCCTTTTTTCCGTCGAACAATAATGTCTGCGCTACGACCAACTTGCAGAACTAACCTTGAATCCACCAGAAGGCATTATCGCCGGTCCGATTAATGAGGAAAACTTCTTCGAATGGGAAGCTCTCATCACGTAAGTTTTTCTTTATAATTGTATTATTTTTTCAGAAAGTTATCGACTCTTTAGTTACTATATATTATGCATATATATTTTTCTAAATCTATCTCTATATAGTTTTAACAAAACATTAAATAATTAGTGATATGTAAATAATACCTGTGTATGTACACACAATACATACACAGATATTATTTACACATCACTAATTATATGTACACACACACACACATACACATCAGCATTTGTACAAATTTTTCATTATTGAAATACTAATGAAGCTGAATATTTTTAGTGGGCCAGAAGGAACATGCTTTGAAGGTGGAATCTTTACGGCAAAATTAATATTTCCTCCAGATTATCCACTAAGTCCACCCAAGATGCAATTCACTTGTGAAATGTTTCATCCTAATAGTAAGATATTATAAATTTATAATAAATGTCTAATTTAATTTACTCCGCCTAAATTTTGATAATCATATATTTAAAGCTTTTGCCGTGCAGTAATCGTGTTGATGCATCTTGTATACAAAAATTCTTATTTGACATCTTTTTATATAAAAACCAGATTTTAAAAGTAAAAATTATCACTGGATACTATAAAAAGTTAAAAAATGTTTAAAGGTTAACAAAAAAAAATAAAAATAGAAAAAGAAATCGACAAATGAAAGGTGAAGCCTTTTTTCCTGACATCATTTCCCTGAAAAATTCTAATCTGATCTAATTATAATTTCTTCTAATTTTTAATTGTCCCTTAAAACTATATATCATTATATATACAGTTTATCTTATTCCATATTTTAAATTTTACATACTTTTAAACAGATATATCTCAATAGATTTGTTAATTTCATAGTATTACTTTTATCACAAATATTACTTTTAATAGTTTATAACTTTTTATAATATCTAGCGATTTTTATTTTTCAAATGTTTGTTTTTATGAAAAGATGTCAAATGTATTTTTATCAAAATTTAATTAAAGCAGGTCAATTAAGGTTTACTAAAATTATGAAGCATAAAATAAATTTAAAATTTATTTATTTTAAGTTTAAAATTTCATTAAATATACAATAATATTAATCATGTTAACCATGTGTTAACCATATATATGAAATTATCTTTTTCTTAAAAGTTTATGCAGATGGAAGAGTCTGTATAAGCATATTACATGCACCTGGTGATGATCCAATGGGTTATGAAAGCAGTGCAGAAAGATGGAGTCCAGTACAGAGCGTGGAGAAGATATTATTGAGTGTAGTAAGTATGCTAGCAGAACCAAATGATGAGAGTGGTGCTAATGTAGATGCCGCCAAAATGTGGAGAGAGGATCGTAGTGAATTTGAGAGGATAGCTCAAAAACTTGTAAGAAAAACGTTGGGTATCCCTTAAAATAGGACGCATATTGTTTATTAAAATAAATAAATAAAAAATAAAAAAAAAGGAAAATCTTAAATTATAATTATTACGTTTATTTCTTCATAGTACATTCTTGTATAAAAATAAATTTTTATCTGTACAACAAATTTTTGATGTGCAAATTTTTTCTTGTATATTCTGCTGATTATTTGCACAAGATATGAAATGAACTTTAAATTTACAAAGTTTACGTCTTTTAATGTTACAAAAACTGAAATTATTAATCTCAAAAAATGTTTTTTATTTTCAACATTGCAGTACAAACATGGGTAATCAAATACATATGTGAATATCTTGTACACTTACATATTTCATTGAATTGCTAATAAAGAATAAGAATCACTTCTTGCGTTTGAGTATATTTGATGTTAAGTTATTAGTATTACTAACCAATCCCAAAAACTATTTTGTGATGTTAATTATCACAATCGTATACCTTGCTATATTATTCTTGTGTAAATGTACATCATTGTAAACTTAATGTATTATCAATTAATACATATTTAGTTATCTTTCATTTTCTTTTCTCTTTGAGAAGGGAATATAAGTTAATATATTTATAATAAGATATATTTCCAATAAAGGTAAACGAAGTAATTATTCCATTACTTTCTATCACAGAAGAATTATTTTGCCAATAAATCAGGAACACTAGATTGTTATCGCAATCAGTTATCTTTTTATTAGTTTCTCAGTTTTTACTTTTATACAAATTTTATTTTATTAAATTATATAAGTGCCAATCGAAACCTTGTCGATCTTAATAAAAATTCCGAGAAATATATATCACACCATATTTACAAAATTAAAAGATACGTAGCGAAATATCTGATTATCAGATGCACATTTCTTTTTAATAATAATTAAACTTGAGATCTAATTTTTAAATGAACTAACTGCACTAGCTCAGAATATCTTTTTTATTCCACAAAAATAATCTCTAAATGAGTATAAACTTGCTTACATTTTTCTTGTACTTAAATCTTTATAATTTATTCTTTTACATTTTTTCTACATTTCTTCGAATTAAAAATTAACAAAAACCAAATTTTATCCATTCATGTATAAATTTATATTACAGTAAACAATGGCCGCATTTAGCGGACTCAACCGCTAAGTAGCAATCGAATATGATTGGTTTCTACTTTCAGGTCCGACCAATCAGCGTCGAGTTACATCGGAAAATCTAGTAATGTTTCCCAACTGTCGAGTCTGCTGAATGTGGCCAATATCGAAATTCAACTGAAAATTAAAGGCTATAGCACACACATGGACGTAAGAAATACTGGACAGAGCATAAAGTACTCTTTTAGACGAGGGGAGTGAAATCTGAGGGGTAAGGGGTTTATTGTCGCGACCATCTTAAGATGCGGCCTCATTGACGCTAAAAAGTAGCGTCAACCATTGGTTGAACAATGAAGCAACTATACTTACCTCCTTGTTCAACCAATGGTTGACGCTACTTTTTAGCGTCAATGAGGCCGCACCTTTAAGGTGCAATTTCATTGACGCTAAAAAGTAGCGTCAACAATTGGTTGAACAAAGAAGCAACTACTTACTTCTTTGTTCAACCAATGGTTGACGCTACTTTTTAGCGTCAATGAGGCCGCATCTTTAAGGTGCAATTTCATTGACGCTAAAAAGTAGCGTCAACCATTGGTTGAACAATGAAACAACTACTTACTTCTTTGTTCAATCAATGGTTGACGCTACTTTTTAGCGTCAATGAAATTGCACCTTTAGATGCATCAGATTTAGCGTCTATTTTCACGTCGCACGAACGTAAATCGAATAAAATATGAGAGATTCCGTGAAATCATCTATCATCTGAAATCGCTGTGTTGTTCCGAATCATTTTTGAATATTAAGAAATTCAAAAATATCACACTCCGTGAAATTAATATCCGTCGCCATCTTACATGCCTCATATTCCGTTGCAGTAGACATTTCTTTCCCCTCACCCTTTGAGCTTCACCCCCACAGCAATACATTCTGTCCAGTATTTCTTACGTCCATGAGCACACTTTCCGTAAGACATAACAGTAAGATTTCGACCAATCGCTCAATTTGGTTAGGCCGGGTCTACAATAGGTAATTTAAGTCTTAAGCCTTAAGAGATTGACCAATCACAGTCAAATATGAAGAGAATACTCGACTGTGATTAGTCAATTTCTTAAGGCTTAAGGTTTAAATTACTTATTGTAGACCCGGCCTTACGGATGGCCAAATTGAGCAGCGCGATTAGTCAAAACCTTACTGTTATGTCTTATGCGACGTCTATAATGAGATTTTAAAGAGACTTAAGGTGCGGCCTCATTGACGCTAAAAAGTAGCGTCAACTATTGACAACAAGGTTGAACAAGGAGGTAAGTATAGTTGCTTCATTGTTCAACCAATGGTTGACGCTACTTTTTAGCGTCAATGAGGCCGCATCTTTAGGCGTAAGACTTAAGAAATTGACCAATCACAGTCGAGTATCTCTTCATACTTGACTTAAGAAATTAATCAATCACAGTCAAGTATTAAGAGAATATTCGATTGTAATTGGTCAATTTCTTAAGTCAATTTCTTAAAGGTGCCTTTACATAGGAGCGTCTGAGCATCGAGCGTTAAAGCGTCAAAAAGTGTGACAAGCGCAGTGTGCCTATGCCAATGTTTCATGCATTCGTGATTAAAAATATTGTTTTTATTGATTTTCAACGTGCACACGTTATATCTTATACAAAAAATACATTGTAATAAATAATATTCATGTTGTAATAATATATGTTTAGAAGACATATATTTATGCCAATTATTTGGTTATGTTGTACTACGTTGCTAATCGCGCAATTCTATAATATATATTGTATAATAATATCTATTATATATTATATATATTAATACATTTTCTATGAAGAATATACAATCTACTTATCTCTACGGTATCTATTAAATTTTTATTACTAAACATTGTATTAGCATCAAGATGCTGGAATCTGCCTGTTTAGAATTATGCGCAAGGGTGCTGCGCACGTGTTTTTGACGCTCAACGCTTGACGCTAAACGCTTCCATCTAAAGACGCCTTAATGTGCATTTTCACGTATCGCTGAAACTGATCATTTGAGCGACAAAAATGATCACGTGAGAACTTTTGTCGCTAAACTATTACAACGGTAGTTGTGCACATGAAAAAAGATTACAGCGATAAAGTTGTGTTGTAGAAAACAATAATAGCAGCTTTCAAAAGAAGAAAATATTATAACTGAATATCAAATTGTAAGAAAATAATTCGATGAAAACGTCAAATACAATTTGAAAATGATATCGTTTTTATTATATTACTATCAGAAACAAAAAGACATTATTAAAAAAAAAATTTTGGGCCGCACTACTTTTTCAAAATCATGATTAATATGGATTTTACAAAGTTATTTTATCGAATGTGAGATTAGAAAATGCAAGATTTCTGAATTATTTTCGATGTCATCAACGCAACTGGAAAATTTACTACATTTTTATTTTAGTACATACAATTAATATAGTAAGGCAGCATTGTCAGCAATGTATTAGCGTTTGACATATCGTTTGAGCGATAATGCTTTGTAGTTGAACCGATCTAAACTACAAAATGACAGCTGCTGGATTACGAGCGACAAATCTGTCGCTTCAACTATTTGTTTCAGCGATATATGAAAATGCACCTTTATGCCTCAAGTCTCCTTAAAATCTCATTGAAGACGCCGCATTATGCAATAAAAGTTCAATTATAAGAAACAAGTTTTTGCTGACAAAAATATAGGATGCATTTAAAATATTCCAGTTTAAGCAGTTAAATAATTTGATTCGAAAGAGAGAGTTTTCTTTATTAATTCCCAAAATTGAATTAAAAAATTGAAATCTTTTTCAATAAAAATTCTATAATAATTTTTTTTTATTTCTGACATCTTTAAATATGACCTCAAATTACTTTATAAAAAATACCTTGCACATTAAACTAGAAAAAATTAACTAATAGGTCGTCACAATTATTAATTAATAATCTCTACGATTGAATTGCAATTTTAAGCATGAGACATTCATTTGTGTAACAATCAATAGTTATGCACTTACGGACGACCTCACCGATTTCATTGATTTTGACATATGTTGTCAAGCTCACTCCGCTGAGTAAGTATCAAAAGGTTTTAAGTGTCGCTCGTCATTTATTAAAAAATTATTACCAAAAAAAGTTTTACGAATTATGTGCAATTTTTAAACATTACGTACGTTTTAAGAGTCAAGATGAAATGCGTGGATATAATGTGTTCCGCCCCCCCTTCCACTTTCAGAAAATATAACCTAAGCTAAATCTATGGCCGGTATTCATAGTCCGATCTTATATTTAAGATTGTCTTAAGTCTGGTCCGAGGTTGACTTAAGACCTCATTCAACCAATCAAATAGCTGCGTAGCATTTCAAGCACGAACTTAAGACGATCTCAAATATAAGATCGGACTATGAATACCGGCCTATTTCTGATTTAAAACTAAAATTTGATTTGAAATGAACCTTGCTTCGCGTCAAAAGTTGCAAACCCATATGAACTTTGTTTTATCTTGCAAAGTACATACATGCGTGGCTACAGTGGGTTTCGCTCCCTTTTTTGGGGGGGGGCTCCATTTCCGAAAGATATAACCTAACCTAAACCTATTCCGATTTAAATCAAATTTTAATTTTAAATCAGAAATAGGTTTGGATTAGGTTATATCTTCCGAAAGTGGCGACCCCTCGGGTCCCTCCCCCGTAGGGGAGGTGGAATACACTGTCTTCAAGCAGCTATATTTTGCAACATAAAACAAAGTTTACTCTACATTTAATGATGATCTTCGCTACATATTAAACATATATTCCAAATATAACTTCTTAAGCGTACATGCTATCGCAAAATCATATTATATTCATTAAACTTTTTCGTTAATAACTTTTTAATAAATAGTGAGCGACATTTAAAACCTTTTGATACTTAAGGTGCAGTCCCATGGAGCAGCGTATGGCGTATCGGCGTAGGCGTAAAAGAGCTTAGCCAATCACAGATTTTACGCTTGTTTTCGTTACGCCAGCAAAAACATCGGCTGTCCCATGGAACATATTTACGCTAGTGTAATAATGAATAAACCAATCACAGTCTTTTACAAAGTTTATTTTTAAAATGAATATTTAAAGGGCCTTGTGATTGGTTTATTGATCATTACGCTAACGTAAATACGCTCCATGGGACAACCAATAAAAGTTTTTAGCTAGAGGCGTGCAAATCTGCTCTCACTCCCGCTCGTTCCCGACAGCGAGACTGGATTCTTCTTCTTCTTCTTCTTCTTCTTTGGATTTGAATGGCCACCTCC